TTTCAACTATAATCTCTTCAAATATTTTCTCAATCCCTTTCTTTTTCTCTTCTTCTTCTGGGACCCCTATAATTTGAATGTTGGTACGTTTAATGTTGTCCCAGCGGTCTCTAAGACTGTCCTCAATTCTTTTCATTCTTTTTTCTTTATTCTGCTCTGTGGTAGTTATTTCCACTATTTTATCTTCCAGGTCACTTATCTGTTCTTCTACCTCAGTTATTCTGCTATTGATTCCTTCTAGAAATTTTTTTAAAATATAAATTTATTTATTTTTGGCTGCCCTGAGTCTTCGTTGCTGCACACGGGCTTTCTGTAGTTGTGGCGAGCAGGGGTTACTCTTTGTTGCGGTGCGCAGACTTCTCATTGCAGTGTCTTCTCTTGTTGCGGAACACAGGCCCTAGGTGCATGGGCTTCAGTAGTTGTGGTGCGCAGGCTCAGTAGTTGTGGCTCATGGGCTCTAGAGCTCATGCTCAGCAGTTGTGGCGCAGGGGTTTAATTGCTCCGCAGCATGTGGGATCTTCCCAGACCAGGGCTCGAACCTGTGTCCCCTGCCTTGGCAGGCGGATTCTTAACCACTGCACCATCAGGGAAGCCCCTAGAGAATTTTTAATTTCATTTTTTGTGTTGTTCATCATCGTTTGTTTGCTCTTTAGTTCTTCTACGTCCTCGTTAAACGTTTCTTGTATTTTCTCCATTCTGTTTCCATGATTTTGGATCATCTTTACTATCCTTACTCTGAATTCTTTTTCAGGTAGACTGTCTTTTTCCTCTTCATTTGTTTGGTCTGGTGGGGTTTTACCTTGCTCCTTCATCTGCTGCTTGTTTCTCTGTCTTCTCATTTTGCTTAACTTACTGTGTTTGGGGTTTTTTTGCAGGCTGCCGGTTTGTAGTTCCCGTTGTTTTTGGTGTCTGCCCCCAGTGGTTAAGGTTTGTTCAGTGGGTTGTGTAGGTTTCCTGGTGGAAGGAACTGGTGCCTGTGTTCTGGTGGATGAGGTTGGATCTTGTCTTTCTGATGGGCAGGACTGCATCTTGTGGTGTGTTTTGGAGTGTCTGTGAACTTAGTATGATTTTAGGCAACCTCTCTGCTAATGGGTGGGGTTGTGTTCCTGTCTTGCTAGTTGTTTGGCATGGGGTATCCAGCACTGGAGCTTGCTGGTTGTTGAGTGGAGCTGGGTCTTAGCATTGAGACAGAGATCTCTTGGAGAGCTCGTGCCAATTGATATTACGAGGTCTCTGGTGGTCCAGTGTCCTGAACTCAGCTCTCCCACCTCAGAGGCTCAGGCCTGACACCCAGCCGGAGCACCCAGACCCTGTCAGCCACACGGCTGGAGTGCCTTTAGAATTGGGGAAGCTGGCCTGCAGTGGCTCTCCTTCTGCACTGCACATTAGAATCAGCTGCTCCTTCCTTGTTTTGCCCCTAAGGCAGTGTTCCACAGGGAAAAACACTGGCCTTGAAAATAGTCACAGCTCTGAGATGACCTTTTTTTTCCCCTTTGTGCTTAGTTGGGATTCACTTGCTCACAGGGGCCATGTGCAGAGGCCTCTCACCTGGCTCTTCTGACTGGAGTTCCTAGTGCAGAATGGCTGCCACCAACACCTCAGCTCAGGCGGGCCAAAAAATTACTCTTTATGTAGTAAAAAGTTTATCCATCATTTTTTTATTGCCTCCAGATTTTTTAGCCTCTAGATTTATTGAGATATAATTTACATACCATTAAATTAACTAATTTTAAGTGTACAATTCAATGGTTTTTAGTAAACTTACAGAGTTGTACAACTATCACCACAATCCAATTTTGGAACATTTCCGTCACCCCAGAAAGATCCCTTGTGCCCATTTGCACTCACTCCTGTTCCCACTCCCAGCCCCAGGCAATCACTAATCTGCTGTCTTTTTCTACACAATTTGCCTATTGTGGACATTTCATGTATGTGGAATCTTACAGTATGTGGACTTTTTGTCTGGCTTCTTTCATCTATAATGTTTCTGAGATTATCAGTACTTCATTCCTTTTCATTGCTAAATAGTATTCCATTGTCTGGATATACCACATTTTGTCTATCCATTTACCAGTTCATGGACTTTTGGGTTGTTTCAACTTTGTGAATATTATGAATTATGCTTCCATGAATATTCACTTGCAAGTTTTTGTATGGACATATGTTTTTTATTGGGTAGATACCTAGAAGTGGAATTTCTGGGTCATATGTTTAACTTTTAAAGAAACTGCCAAACTTTTCCAAAGTCGCTACACTGTTTACATTCTCCTCATGTTTCTGGATTTTGCTTCATAGTTAAGAAGCTTTCTCTATGCCAAGATTAAAGAGGAAATCACCCATGTTTTCTTCTAGTACTTGTGTTGGTTTTATTTTTTACATTTCATTTTTCCATTTGGAGTTTATACTTGTGTTTGGTGTGGACCTATTTTCTTTTAATATCCTTATTTTCAATAACTCAATCATTTTTTCTGATTATAAAAGTGATACCTTGCTTCTTATAGAACATTTAGAAAAGTATAAAGAATAAATCTTAAAATTTGTCATAGTTTTATCTCCCAGAAATGACTGCCCTTCCCTTTGTAACTCTCCCTCTTTGGGTCATTTAATCTTGGTTTCCTGATAATATTTTTTAAATGTTGGATAAAGGAACTGAGGAAAGCTTGGATCTCTTAAAGGGTCTCCTAAAGACCTGTTCTAGTATAGCCAGTTTAGAAGCAATTGACCCATCTTTTCTTTCAATTTAGCCAGACCTGTTTCATGTAAGACAAGACTAATGAAAACCATTCCAGACTTCCAACTACCTAGAATATCCTATAGGATATAGTTTTAGCTACAAAAGTAACAGATTCTAAGAAACAGTTGATGAATGAAACAATGTAACTCAACTGTTCAATGTTCTACAGAGAAATAAAGATGCTACTTTTCTCAAAAATGTATATTTATATCTTTAGAGACATTTCTTAAGGCTTTTTACAAAATGTACAGTTTATATACATGATTTTTTTTTGCTTTTTTCCTTAGGTTATATTCTTTTCTTTGTGAATGTGTGTCATTGAAGCTTTTGTATAGATTTTCTGCACGTGTTTGTCAATTTTCACATGCTCAACTGAGGAATCCTACTAGCATTGGCAATTAAATAGCATCTGAAAGAGGAAACATTGGTTTACATTGTATTTTCCCCGGTTTAGAGAAACCTTGGAAATTTTTAGAGGAAAAAAACTATTGAGTTAAAAGTATCATTACTTTGGAGCTTGTCAACTTGCATGAACGATGCATGGAAGTTTTCAGTTTAATAACAATAAAGAAATCAGAGCAATCTAAACTAACACTAAATTTACTCATAGTTTATTTTTATAATCCACAATTGAACATTCCTTCATAAGAGTTCTAGTAAATTCTCAAGAGTGTAATGAAACCCTATGGTGTGGCCTTGCTCTTAACTTTTGATAAAGAACATGCTAAGATCTTCTATAAGACTTCATGGAAATCTTAAACTGGGTGAGAGGGCATCTATTCCTGAAATCCTTTTCTGTCCTTTCTTGAGATTGAGAACAGCTGTTCCCTGTCCTTTTTTTCTCTTTATTATATCCTTGACAACTATTCATTTTCCCCTTCCGTTTCCTTCAGATCAAATCTTCATGTTTCTTCTGATCTTTTTTTGCCAGTCCTATTTTCTAGTCTTTTGAGCAATTAATCCCAGTGGATTACAAAAAAAGCAAATCAAAACTGCTTCTTATTGATCTGTTTCAGTAGTCTGGAACTGATAGGAAGTAATCTGCATAAATGCCAAACGTTCTTTGAAGCTATTTCTGGCCCTTCCACTCCTATTTGAAATGAATACTATTGTTGCCACCACCCACTCTAAGCCATTAAAAATTGATAGACAAATGAACAGGAGGCTGTGGGTCATCAGTTTGAAGGGAGGCAAGCATTTAGAAGGGAGCACTTGTTTATGGAGAGTTGTGAAATGTGTTCTTAGTGGCCACAGGTCATCATTTCAACTTTTTCACTCCTTAAATGCTATTTCCCTAACTTTACAGCAAATAGGTAATTGACTTATGTTGATTAGCTTAAATTTTGACCCTTAGCAGTGTCACTTCTACCTCCCCCATACCTCTTCCTTCTCTAGTTCCCTAATCTTTAATGAGGGATTGAGAATGAGAAGCGGGAGAGAACATGTATCTTAGCTATTAGTTAGCCTTTACTTCTTACCTACATAGCATAAATAGATCTTAAACCAAGATCCTAAACCTAGAGGTTAGTCATTCTTGTTGCAACCATTTCTTGCTCTGAATTATTACCTTCCTCCAAACCATTAATTTAAAGTAGTTCAGGCATACATTTTTATTTATCCAATATAGTACCTGGCTGGAAGTATACATTGGAATGAACGCTTTTTCTAGACTTCTGGGGGGTAATTTTAAACCAATCCCACCCTAAGGCCTATGGGATATATATTTTTATCCACCTTTGATATAACTGTTATCAATCGGGAACTTTTCTTTTCTTTTTTTTTTTGGCTGCATTGGGTCTTCACTGCTGTGCATGGGCTTTTCTCTAGTTGTGGCAAGCGAGGGCTACTGTTCATTGCAGTGCATGGGCCTCTCATTGCGGTGGCTTCTCTTGTTGCGGAGCACGGGCTCTAGGCATGCAGGCTTCAGTAGTTGCAGCACACAGCCTCAGTAGTTGCGTCACACAGACCCTAAAGTACGCGAGCTTCGGTAGTTGCAGTGCGTGGGCTCAGTAGTTGTGGCACGTGGGCTCTAGGACATGCAGGCTTCAGTAGTTGTGGCACGTGGGCTCAGCAGTTGTGGCTCGCAGGCTCTAGAGTGCAGACTCAGTAGTTGTGGCACATTGGCTTAGTTGCTCCGCGGCATGTGGGATCTTCCCGGACCAGGGATCGAACCCGCGTCCCCTGCATTGGCAGGCATATTCTTAACCACTGTGCTACCAGGGAAGTCCACAAGTACTTTTCTAATATGTTACTTTCTTTGTCTTAGTGTGGAACCATCAGAGAATCTACAATCCCTAATGGAGAAGAATCAGTCACTGGTAGAGGAGAATGAAAAATTAAGTCGTGGTCTAAGTGAGGCTGCTGGTCAGACAGCCCAGATGTTGGAGAGGATCATTTTGGTGAGGCTTCAAGACTAAACTACTACCAGTCTGGACATTTACTAACTTTAGTTTCTGAAATACTTAACATGCTTCTCATTATGAGAGACAAGTTACATGGAAAGAAATGAATTAATATTACCATATCCTCCCTGAAGCCCCCTCCAGGGAAAATCCAAGAACGTTTAATCAAACATACAGAAAAATTGAAAGACTTATACCGTGAACACATATATATCTACCACAAAGAATCTACATGAAGCCCATTTTAAAATGTATTTGTTCTAAAATATCAGAGAGGAAAGAACCAGGTCCTTCTGTCACCTTAAGTTCTGCCTAATCATCCATAATACCAAGTAATTCTCCTCACTAAGATTTTAGTTCCTTTCTGTCTCCCTTCCCGTAATGTCACATTTCATATCCCATCCTAACAACTGCCATGGAGAGAGAAAACATCTGGAAAATTAATTTTAACTCCTTTTACATATGGTTAATTTTCAAATAGTGGATCACTATGTAACTGACTACACCAGTTCTGTGTCCTACTACATGTGTGATAGTACCCTCCTGGATCAGTGTGTGCGGGCTCTGTCACTAACATTGTTCTACTAGTCTAAATACAACTCAATATTTGATAGCACAGCGATTGCCAGAAGTAAAAATGAGTTTCCACCAAAATGTAATTGACCATCTGTAATTTATACACCTTCACGAATCAGTGTACTCCAGTCAAGGAAGAGTAACCTGCTTAAAGATTTCTTTAAAGGGGGCCAAATCCTAGGTCCATTGTAATGTCCATTACTAGCAGAAGGGTGAAAATGGGATCTAGGGGATTTTTTTATATACAGGTTTCTATCTCCAGTGCTACATTTTATGTCTTTGAAGTAACTCTAGAAGCTGTGCTTCACATGTGAGTGTGGCTCACATAACAGACAGTACTTGTTATTCTAGCCGTGTACCCATCTGACCTTTATAAGGTTGTTACAATGGCTGCCCAATAGGTTTATTGTTTGATGTCTTGTCAGAACTTCATAACGAGCACAACAGTTTTGTCCTATATAAACTGTCCTTCCCAAATCTGTTGCAGCATCTAGCATGTTACAGATACTGTGACTGAAATAAAATGGAAAATATCAGTAACCCTTCCCAAAATGTAGCTGCCTCTCTGCCATTTCTTCTTCTCTGCCATCATTCTTATGCCTCATCTTTTTCTTGCTTTCTTTTGCTAAAACTAGTCTACCATATAATATAGTGTAACTTGAAAAAACCCTCAGCTCATATTCAATGTGAGGCCCTTTTATGTTTTAAATGTCCTTATGGTGGGGCTAGGGAACAGTGTAGTGTAGGAGGCAGTTTTAAAGCAAGTGGGTTTTTTGCAAACAGCAGGGCGTAGCATGCCAGGAAGTATTGCTTTTTCCCCCAGTTGCAAAGTTCTCTATGGAATTAAGGCTTCACGCTCCACCCTATAGTCTGAGCTTCATGGCAAGCATAAGACCCAGCTGCTTGGATGCTATTTTTAGTAGCTCATGTTGACTGAAGGGCTAATTTCCATGACTGTTAAAAAACACATTTCTTGCTAAATAACCAAAGTCCACTAAATCCTCTATTACAGCAAAGGAGTTAGCCTCTCTACCTAGGTTTTAATCCATAGGAGCAGAAGAGAGGGCCTAATTAGGTGAGGCTGTCAGGCAGTGCCACTGATGATCTCCTGGGTCTTTGTTGCAGACAGAACAAGCGAATGAAAAAATGAACGCCAAGCTAGAAGAGCTCAGGAAGCATGCAGCGTAAGTTTCCTACCAGATGTTTGTGACCTATACCACCTTAGTACATAATCACGGACCCACTGGCCTTTGCAGTATGATTAACCCTTGGGTTCCTTTGCTTGAATTTTCAGCTGCAAAGTGGATCTTCAAAAGCTAGTGGAGACTTTGGAAGACCAAGAATTAAAAGAAAATGTAGAGATGATTCGTAACCTGCAGCAAGTGATTACCCAGCTATCGGTAAGCCAAGTAGGGACAGTGTAAACAGGCATATTGCTTTCGTTTGTTTCTCTTGATGCATATAAACATGTCTAACTCTGCACCTTTTGCTGAAACAACTAGATTGTGAGCTGTTTGAGGACAAAGATCATGGATCATTGGATATGACCTGAATATTGAATTAGTTAAATCAAAACCACTCATAGATTACACGTGCAGTGGCACATTAATATTTCAGTATTCTAATCAAACACTGGAAGCAGCAACACTGGTGCAAAATTGCCTGGGTAGCATGAGCAGCAGTCATTGATTTGCTGTCTTTTCGGTGTAGGCTAACTTAGTAAGAGGCCTTATACCATACCCCAATTTTAAATAAGCTGGGTTCTGACAGATAGCATAGAGCCTCCAGGGAATACCGTAGCTCTCTTTTATAACCAGTAATAAATTAGTTTGAATGATCATTCCACTATAAGTTCACATTTTTATTTATAGAACTAGTATAGTAGTTGTGGGTGGGTTTTGTTGGGAGGGTGGTTGTTTGTTGTTTTTCCCAGAAGAAACATTCTTACAGTCCTACCATCCTAAAAGCCTCTTTTTATTTTTGGTGTTCCTTCTCTATCCTAGTACTTAAGCATAGATATTTTTTTGAAAAATTGAAATCATATTATGTTATGGGGTCATGGTTGGTAAAGGGGTTATGGTTTGTTTTGTTCCATCTATACCCTCTTGTTTATTATTCTGAAGCAGTAATGTGTATGTAAGTGCCTGGTAGTAATTCCTAGGTCTGAAACAGAGGTTTTAATTTTACCAGAACAGTGATTGATTCTCTACCCCGGGTCTTGCCCAGTGTTTTCTAGAGTTGTCAAAAGGTTATCACAAAATCATCCGCATCTCTATTTTACTCTTAAAGAGTCAGTGAAAAAAATACCATACAATATTGTAAGGGAAATGGTTAGGATGGCCAGTTCAAGAAATTAAATGAGTAAACTTCCAAAAGACTAGAAAGCAGTGTTTTAGAATAAGTAGTACTGTACAAAATTATTACAGGTAGTCCAAGATGACAGTTCATTTTCCTAACAAACAGGCCATAGTAATTGAGAATCTGAGCTCCAAAGCCAGACAAACCCTGGTTTGAATCCCATTCTGCTACTCACTAGCTGTGTAACCTTGCTAAGTACTATATTGATATTGAAAGAAAATAATCCAAGTGACTCAAATCGAGGTTAAAGGCATTATTCAGCTGATGTACTCAGGGATCACCTGAACTCCAAATAACTCCCCGAGTTGAAATAGGATTGGAGTTTCATACAGTGAGAAGGGAGGGGTGTGATTCCTTGTGGTTTGTCTCAGTTGGCAGTTTTTGTTGTTAATTGCTGTGAATCTTTTGGTTGGAGAATGCTCCAGTTTTCATGCTTCTTGCTCAAGAACACTGGTGCAATCCCATCCTGATAAATGTCCAATTATTTTCAAGAGTTGTTCTTGCAAGCCTTGTTGTTTGTCAGTTTGCCAAGGTTCACAGGTGGGAGAGGTGGCAAAAAACCCTCTCTCATCTCTGTTTTAATCCTCTTACATTAGCAATATGAGCAAAGTGTGGTGGGAGCCCAAAGGAAGGGGTGATTAACTGCCTAGAAAATTCAGGAAGAAAAAACTGGGTCCTAAAAAATGAATAGGACTTTGCCACACAGACAGAGGGGAAAGGACGATCTATATAGAGGAAAAGGTATATGCAAAAGCAAAGAGGTATGAATGTTTAGAACATGGTAAGAACTTCATTGTGGCTGAAGTATAGAATGTGTGCTAGAGAATGGCTATCCACAAGGTTAAATTTCACCATCTGTAATCGAGGTGAAGCATCTTATATATGAAAACTTTGTGTGAACTGCCTCAGAATTGAGATAATCTAGACTGCAGAACCCTACTGGAGCCAAATCTTATAAGATCAGAAAAGAGTAATCCAAGGCACCATTGTTCGTGGCCACCACACTGGTCTTAAAGGATTCCACACCACCTCTTTGAGTCACATGGGAAAGATGAAGAAGGAAACTAATGGAACCAAGTTAACAATATAAGAGAAGGCATATCTTCAGTGAGGATCTGGCAGTATGACTGGTGCCTGGCATGACTGTGGAGGAAGTTGCTAGTGGTGGCTGGCTCAGAGGAACTCTAGAGAATTGCTGTGTCTGTCACTAAAATTCACTTGGCATGCGTAGCAGGAGGGTGCTAAAGATTGCCACAAGCTGATAAAGTCCCTGGCTTCCATCCACCATCATGGTCAGGTAGAGTAAACCCTTTTACCCTGGGCTCCTGCTGGACTCTTGAATCAGAGTTCTCTGTGTCTATTGTTTGGAGACCCTCCCAGCTACATATTTTTTTGGAAATACACAACAATGTATCCTGTGGCTTTTACTGAGACTCACTACAGTGAAAGCAGAATGTTTTAAATGTAAGTGCTTGTGCCCTTCATTCTGGATTAAAACTATTTTTATTACAAGTGATGGTTGAACACCCTCTTTTCAGTTATGAAGGCAACCATTGTTCCTGGACCTTTCTCCTAGGGCTTTAAGTGCTAAACTGTACTATTTCTTCCTTTAAAATATAATTCAGGCAAACCTTGTTGCAGTTACCTGTGAGGAAATTCATGCAGTCCTTTCAGTTCCCACAAAATCAAATTTTTTTTGTTTTTACCCCTTTCTCCAAGACCAGTTCCATAAAAAGCTTTTTGCATGCCCAGTAATGCTATTGCCTACAGCCCACAAGCACAAACTTCATTTTGGAGGGTATTACTGGTTAATGTAGCTCAACGTACCTGTTCCCGTAGTAGTCCTGTTCCCCTGACCATCACCTTCAGCAAATCATGTCTTTTTATTACAAGAGGTTCTCAGTAGCCTTAGAATGAGGGAGAAAGGCTGTTAGATTGAAATAAATCCTATTGTTATATATTTACATTTAGGATTATAAAGGCATAAACCTGCCATGTTCATGTAGAACGTGTCACCAAAGCTTAAACCTTAGCATTGTGAAATTTCACTGGGCCAAAAGGTAAACCCACAGTAACAACATGTCTTCTTCAGGGCATGTTGAATCGGATCTACCTGGATCCTGACCCTCTGGAAGGTCCTAGAAAAAGTCTCCAAAAGCCAGTGTCATAGGCCCTACTAGTCTAGGATAGGTCTATAGTCCTTTTACTGAGACTTACTGGGAGGGAGAAAAGGGTAACCATTAACCTATAATACATTGAAGTGCTCTGTTTTTTAAGAAGGATTTAGTATGTCCTGCCCTTGGAGAATCACCAGTAGTGTAAATCATGATGAGAAAGGATGTAGGAATACTGGGGCTTCCTTTGAATTCTCTTTGAGTCTCACTGGTTAGGAATTTCTGGGCAGAATAAGGGAAATGCTTTACAAACAGCATTTACTAAGGGCCTTTTTTTTTTTTTTTTTTTTTTTTTTGCCACACTGTGTGGCATGCGGGATCTTAGTTCCCCGACCAGAGATCGAACCCGTGCCCCCTGCACTGGGAGCATGGAGTCTTAACCACTGGACCACCAGGGAAGTTCCATTAAGGGCCTCTTTCACTTCTTGCCTTAAAGGTACTAAGATTCAAGTTTCAACAACTATGTAATGTTTCACTGGGCTGGTGCCGGGACTCCCTGTGCTAACCCTAAATTCTTTCCTTGCTATTGAGCCAATAGCTCTTTCATCTATGACCTTAATCATGTGACATCCTGGAAATAATCCTTTCTTCCCAGGGCTTTTCAGAATCACTTAAACAGAAGTGGTAATCTTTATGTTGCAATGCCAAATAAAGCCTAAATTCCAGTGGGGAGAACAGAGATTGCTCATATGAGAGCCTATAAATAAATTAGTCCTAATAAGTGGTTTTAGGTTTCCCTTTTAGGTGGTTGTTGTTCTAATGCTCAAGAAAGGAATGTACCCTTCCCTGGGAGGGAATCAGTGCTTACCCTTTCCCTTCAACTAACCACTACCTCGAGTAGCTGCATATGATTGGTTCCTATGTATATGAGGGACAGAGTCTGAAGTGTGTCTGACTTAATGAGCACATTTTTCTGGGGCATTCACCTGTGGCGTTTATTTCCTTGTAGAGTGGGCTCTTGCTACCTTGACTGGATATAAGATAAAAATCAAAAATAATCCTTTATCCTATTCACTTTTCTGCTGCATTGCCTTTATTTGCTATGTCTGGTCTTAGGATGGTATGTCCATGAGAACTGGCTAGACCTGTACATTATAGAGGTAAACTTAGTGGTAAAAAACAGAAAAAGAAAGGGTAGAGTCTATAAAGTGGATTGAACTTTGGCCTGCTGGAATGGCTGTTTCACTCTAGCCCAGTGAACTCTGGCAGAGCAGGAGAGGTGCAATAAATATGTCAGTGGCCACATGACCCTATTTTTACGAAGACTGCACAATCAACCTTTATACAAAAGACAGACCCTTGAGAAATAGGAAGTGGAAACATGGTTGTTGGGGTATATGTGACTACAGAATTGGTCCAACACCTTAAATGGTCTCTATATACACTTGAAAACAACTAAATAACCCATATAAAACCCACTAGTAAGCTCCTAAACTGAGATATCATTTCTCATTGCAGGATGAAACTGTTGCTTGTATGGCTGCAGCTATTGATACTGCAGTGGAACCAGAAGCGGTAAGTAATTGGCCCCTTTGTGTAGAACCAGGAGCTTTAACTGTGCCATTTCTTATGATTTATCACTCACCTGAGGAAGAGACTCCCTGATTGCTACCATCCTCCATAGAATGCCTTGGAAATCCAGAAATCTTGAGTGTAAAACTCAGTTAACTATAAAATCCCTAACTTGGATAGTATCTCTCTCTAATAGTATAACTGCTAAGCAAAGCTTCTCAGGGTTGCCACTTTCCATATTTGCAGTCTGGCTTACTGATTTCTTATTAGATGCTAGTATTCTGCATCAACTGTCTAGCACATTAAGACAAAGAAGGAGACAAATTAGGAAATTATGGCAAAGTCAAAAAAGCATTAGAGAAGAAATGGAAGAAAATTTTTTCTCAACATACGTTTCTGTGGATGCAGTGGTTAAGGGCTAAAAGAACCAAGGAAAATATTTTGAGCATTCAAGTTGCAAGAATAGATAAAATGTGTTAGATATTGGCTGATGGCTATAGAGCAGAGTCAGAATGAAAGGATGGACAGTGGTTTGCTTGAGACAGCTTTTTCTCCCTAAAACAAATATATGTTGGTATTTTTTATATTCTGAAAGAAGAAAGATAGGAGGTAAATCAGGTGCCAGAGGTCAGCTCTGTGAGAATAAATGAAGCCTCTTCTCCATTTCCACCATTACCAAAGTGCCATTTCCAGAGCCCTCTCTCCTCTAATAAGGTGAAAGTAAGAAGTGTTGGCCAGGGCTTCCCTGATGGCGCAGTGGTTGAGAGTCCGCCTACCGATGCAGGGGACACAGGTTTGTGCCCCAGTCTGGGAAGATCCCACATGCCGCGGAGCGGCTAGGCCCATGAGCCATGGCCGCTAAGCCTGCACGTCCGGAGCCAGTGCTCCGCAACGGGAGAGGCCACAACAGTGAGAGGCCCGAAACTTGGTTCACTCTAAAAGAATCAGTTAAAGGATATAAGAAATAAGGTTCTTGTGAGAGCAGAGAAATAGGTTAGCTCAATTTACTTCTGATGTTTAAAGCAAATGTTTGAGAAGCTACAGTTTTAAAAGAACAGAGGTACTTAAAAAAAAAAGAACAGAGGTACTGATAATGGAGAAGTGGCTGTGAGACTTGATGAAACAGTGCCTAAGGAACTCCAATTGCTTTTTCCTCTCACAAATCATTATACTGATCTTTTCCAGCAAGTGGAAATCAGTCCAGGGAGCAGCAGGTCTTCTGATGGTTTCACCACTCAGCATGCTCTACGTCAAGCTCAGATGTCTAAGGAGCTGGTTGAGTTGAATAAAGCCCTTGCACTGAAAGAGGCCCTAGCCAAGAAAATGACTCAGAATGACAGCCAACTACAGCCTATCGAGTTCCAGTACCAGGTACAATATTTACTAGGGCACGTAATGTTCATGTCTACCATCTCTCTTTAGTAGTATGGGAAGAAAGCAGGCACACCGTTTTTGATGATGACAAGGCAACATAATGTGCATAGTACAACTGGAGTTGTACTGCTGGTTAAAAAAAGGATACATTCGGGCTTCCCTGGTGGCGCAGTGGTTGGGAGTCTGCCTGCCGATGCGGGGGACACGGGTTCGTGCCCCGGTCTGGGAGGATCACACATGCCGCGGAGCAGCTGGGCCCGTGAGCCATGGCCACTGAGCCAGCGCGTCCGGAGCCTGTGCTCCGCAGCGGGAGAGGCCACAACTGTGAGAGGTGTGCATACCGCAAAAAAAAAAAAAAAAAAAGGATACATTCAGTATAAAGAAACTGTAATTTTCTTTCATTTAATCTAATACCTTACTTATGCAACAGGTATTTAATAAATAGTTAGATAATGTTATAATAAATGTGGTCCCTACTTGTAGAGAAATTTTGTTCTAATAACTATGCTGGGATTCTAAGAAAGGTACGTCTCTTAGTAGACAGTCTGGGTTATAGTGAGAATTATGAAGACACTTGTAGTGGATGTCACATGGCTTGGCAAATGGCTAAACTGCTTTTCCTAGTGGTAGTCCTAAGTGGCCCTTGCTAATTAATAATCAGGTCTTTACTTAAAGACAAGTCTTGGGCTTTTAGGTTGTCCACAAGGTTACCCTTGCTCCAGACCTTATTTTCCCCTGTAGCCCGGTATTTCCCATCCACAAAGGGATGTTAGCAGAACTGGTAGGGGGAAGGGTGGATTGCTTTCCCATTCAGCTATATCCTATCATCCCCAAAGTCCTATATGCTGTTCTCAACAAATCCCTGTATTAGTCATACATTTCTACCACCAGTTCCCCTAAGTTTTCAGAGTAAAAACAAGAAAAGTGTTTCTCCTAAATAATTTTCACTTTTTTTTCCATAGGGCAGAAGTTGCTTCCAAAATAATAACTGAGTTGCCAGTAGAGGTGTTATTTCCTTTTTGTTATCACAGTCTTAACTTTTTTTTTCAGTCTTAACTTTTTTGAAACTTATTTTTTATTTATGTCACACAAATGCATGTATATCATTTTTACAGGTCAAATAGTACAATGCTCAGAAAAATAAAAGCAATCTCCTGCCCTACTACCTTCTCTCCTATTCCCTAGGTTTATAGTTCAAGTTCTTTAAGCTGTTTCTTCTGACATTTACCTCCAGATTTCTAGATAAGAGTTGGTAGTATAATTATGTTACTTTAAAATTTTTGGACATTTTCAATTGACTTCCCACTATGGGAGATGGGAATATAGCTCTCTTATACATCCCCCCATGCACAGTGCCTCACCTCTATCTTTCAAAATGGTTATATCACACTTTTTGATTAAATGAATATTTAGTGTTTAAATTTTATGATTACGTAAGTTTTATAACTGAGCCACATAGTATACTATGATTCCATTTCCTTTCTTATACAGCCTTTTGCATTTCCTGAAGTTAATTTTGGGAGTTCCCTGGCGGTCCAGTGGGGGGGGCTTTCACTGCTGTGGGCCTGGGTCCAATCCCTGGTTGGGGAACTAAGATCCCTCAAGCCATGTAGCATGGCCAAAAATAATAATAATCATCACAAGAGTAATAATAATCTCATTTTTTCATTTACTTAGTCTGCTATTTACCTGTCAATAATTTATCTCCAAACTTCTTAACAGAATTATAAAACTCCTCTCAGTAGTCAAACATACCAGGTAATTTATCAATCCATTTCTTTCTTGAAGACAACCCTCTTGGAATCTTTTGTTCTGCTTTGCTTTCTCTAGGCCTACTGCTCAGCCATCAGCCTGGGACTGTCGTCCTGGGAACCTGCTTCACTTCTCATCTCTGTATTGAAACCGATTCCATGTCTTCCTCATTCTTGGGCTACTCCTTTGTGTTGGTGGAGTACAACCCAAACAGCTTTCTGAGAAAGTGTACATGAAAGGAAAATGTTTTAAACCATTGCATGCCTGAAAATAGCTTTTTGTTGTTGTGGTGGTGGTGGTGGTGATGGTGGTGTTTCTTACACTTGTTAGTTTGGCTGGGTTTAGAATTCTACAGTGGAAATCGTTTTTCTTCAGAATTTTGAAGGCTTTGCTCCATGGTCTTCTATTTCCAATGTTGCTGTTTAGAAGTCCATTATAATTCCTGATTCTTTTTATTTGACCTGTATTTTCCTCCCCTCTGGCAACTTTCAGGATCTTTTCTTTATCCCCAAGTATTCTTTAATTTCACAATCATGTGCCTTGGTGTGGATCTGTTCTCACTTATTGTGCTTGCTGCTTGGTGGGTCCTTTCAATCTAGAAATTTGTATTCTTCTTTAGTGGGAAGTTTTCTTGTATTATTTCTTTAATAATGCCCACCTCTCTATTTTCTTTGTTTTTTCTTTTCTTTTTTTTAGTAAATTTATTTATTTTTTTGGCTGCATTGGGTCTTCGTTGCTGCACATGGGCTTCCTCTAGTTGCGGCGAGCAGGGGCTACTCTTCACTGTGGTGTGCGGGCTTCTCATTGCGGTGGGTTCTCTTGTTGTGGAGCACAGGCTCTAGGTGCGCGGGCTTCAGTAGTTGTGCACGCGGGCTCAGTAGTTGTGGCTCACAGGCTCTAGAGTGCAGTCTCAGTAGTTGTGGCGCACGGGCTTAGTTGCTCTGTGGCATGTGGGATCTTCCTGGACCAGGGATCGAACCCCTGTCCCCTGCATTGGCAGGCAGATTCTTAACCACTATGCCACCAGGGAAATCCCTGTTTTTTCTTTTCTTGCACTCCTCTTAGTCAGATATTGGATCTCTTAGATTTAGTCTCTGCTTTTCTTATCTCCTCTCTCCTATTTTCTATTTCTTTGTCTTTTTATTCCATTCTCTGGGAGATTTCCTTGCACTCCTTCTGGTGAATTTTTTTATTTGTCTATTTCTAAGATTTTTTAAAATTCTCTAATTGTTCCTTTTTATAGCCTTCTCTTCTTTTTTTTCATGGATGCAGTGCTCATCTCTAAGGATAGAAATTAAATTTTGTTGAAGTTTTCTTCTTCCTGCCTTGCCTCTGTTTCGTTCAAATTCCCCTCTTTAGTGTGTTTGATTTGGTCTTTCATGTAAGAAGCTTTCTTCAAATTTCCAGTGATCTTTGGTTGTCCGTTCATATTTAACAGTGAGACACTAATAGCCAATAGGAAGTTCTGTATGCATAGGTTTCTCTGGGCTGGTCAGTTTCCAATAAAGAAATCTTTCATTCTCTTGCCTGGAGTTGTGTGGGGAGAGTAGTAATATGCCCTATTTCTGGTAACTCAGAGGAAATGAGGAAGTTGAAGTCTCTCCAGTTATATACAGACTTTTATTTAATTCCCTATCAGTAGTATGTTACTTTATCCCTGCCTTTTGCTGTGTCTGCTGCCTATGAGTCCAGCCTGTCAGGTTCAGCCTCTCCAGAGAGGAAACCTCTTCTCCTCTTTGTGGTGCTATGGTACAAATTAGCTTGTTACTTCTTGACATTTGTCCTATAGGAGTCATAGTTTAGCTTTTTCTACTCTAATTCAGTTACCACTTATCCAAAATATTTTCCTCATCCAAAAAAGTTTGTTTATATCTCTTGACTGCTCTCTTCATCCTTATTGATTTATACCCTTTTGGGAGGTCATTTTAGTGGGTTTTCAGGAGAGAGCAAGTTAAATACATAGCTCAATCTTCCATACTAACAGGACATAAAATGCAGCCTTTTTTAGGTTGAATGTATTTTGGCCTTTCCAGGATAAACGAAGGATTAACGATAAGGCTGAGAAATTATTCCTCTCTTCTTGTACTCTTGCCTAGAAACGCAGGGACATATGTTCCCCCAGTGTACTTCTAACCCTATGAGGGGGTGCTAGTAATGATCTATAGCTATAGCTGTAATAAGATAACTTGTCCTTTTTTTCCCTTGGAATCAAATATGCTTGAGCTTCCAAACCTTAAAGTTAAAAGGAAATAAATTCTTAATGTTAACAGTACCTTTTAATCACATGTAAATGTCTCTCTTTTTCTAAGAAATAAAGGTAATTTTTTGTTCTAAACAATATTTTTCCTATCACTGTAAAGAATTGCTATAGAAAAATCTGAGGAGGTATAAGTTCTTGTTAGTGAAGACTACCATGAATTATAATAGCCCAGGAGTCAAATATTTGAATAATTTCCCTTGTGGAGCCAGTGAGACTATTAACTGAATGTGGCATACATAATGAAGAGATACTATTTTTTTACCCACCCCATTGGTAAAAATTTTGAAGTGTAGCAATATCAAATGTTCACAAGGGTGCAGGGAAATAAGTACTCTCATACATAGCTAGCGAGAGTGTAAACTGGAATAACCACTTTGGGGGACAATTTGGCAGTATCTATTAAAATTGAAAATGTGTACCCCCATGACCCTGTAATCCACTTGTCTCTACCCTAGAAAAACCTTGCACGTGTTCACAGAAGGCATGTACAAGAATGTTTCATTATGGCAACAAAAAGAATGAGATAGATCTGTATGCACTGATATAAATAAACCTCCAAGACCAAGTTTTAAAAAAAAGGCAAGTTACAGAATATTATCTACATATAATGTAACTCTGTTTATCTTTAACATATTTCAGTAAGTACACACATACACATATATATATGCACGTGTGTGTATATATTATTTTAAAGTCTATTTATTTACATATATTATTATATATTCTAGGCATTTGCCACAATATACTTAGTAAATACACACACACACGGCATTTACATTTCTATGTAAATGTCTAGAATATGTACATGTCCATATACATAGTATGTAAGTGTCTAGGGAAAAAGTGTCTGGAAGATCTGGACCAAGCTGATGACAGTGGTTACTTCTGGAGAGAGGACTGGAATTTTGGCAGGGGTAAGGAAGTCAAGGGGACTTGCCCTTTATATGTATTATCTGGATTATTTTTTACAAGAATGTTTTCATGTGTTACTTCTATAAGTACACATACACACACACACACACACACACACACACACACACACGTTATTGCCAGTTTAAATATACAGGGTATATAAAGCAGTGAGATTGGTTTCATTGATTAGATTGAAATGACTAAAAGTATACTTCATGGAAAATAGCTCTTGCCTATTTAGGTACAGCCCCACCTAACCTGCCTCTGCTTCTTTTTGTCATTTCAGTACTGGTCTAAGGCCCTCGTATAATCTTCTTGGCTACCAACCACTCATTCAGTCAGTTTCCTTTAATCTTTTTTTGGTTATGAGAACAGGAAGGAATCTGTTCATTGAGTTTTCCCAATCTTGGAAAAACTACCAAACTTCAGTTTCTAGAATTTGTTTTCTAAGTGCATGCAGAACTGCAGTTGCTATTGAATGCATACGTTTGAAAGTTCAGAATATAAGAATGTTTGTGCAGCTCTTTACAGTTTACAAAATATCTTTACTTTTTATCTTATTCAGTCTTCCCAACAACCCTGTGAGGTAGGTGGTGTTAGTTGTTTACATAGATAGGAAAACTCTCGGGGGTCCCCAAGACCACCCCCAGGTTCAATGATTCACCAGGAGGACTCACAGGACTCAGTGTAAGATTTATTACAGTGGAAGTATACAAAACAAAATCAGCAAAGGGAAAGAACACATGGGGCAAGGTTTGAAGGAAAACAGGTGCAAGCTTCCAAGAGTCTTCTTCCGATGGAGTCACATAGTATGTACTTAATTCCTCCAGCAATGGATTTTGACAACATGTGTTGTCAAAATGTTGTCTATCAGGGAAGCTCCCCTGAGCCTAGGAGTCCAGGATTGTTAGCAGCAGTAATTCATGTAGGCATTCTCTGCCTAGCACATACAAAAATTCTAGACTTCCAGAAGGAAAGCATGTGTTCAGGATAAATCATTCTGTTTGCACAGTTTAGGCATAATGAGCCACTCTTATCAGTTAGGAGATGGTGGGAATCCTACCAAAATCCAAGATCCCAGACATGAGCCGAGGTCCAACTTGCAAGCCAGGTCTGTTTTTAGGATATCAGTCTCAGGCCTGCCACAGTAACTCTTGTTTGCATAGAAACTAAGACTAAAAGAGATGAAATGGCTTTCCTTAAGTGGTTTAGATAGAATGTGCTGGACTCAAGGTTTAAACCCAGGCCTTTGGATTCCAAGTTCATACTTTTCCCACTATATAATTTCATTCTCCATCAAATCAAGTACAAATGCTTTTAGTGTGCAATCGAAGTGGTAAAGTTGAATGCCTAGTTCCTTAAGACATGAGATGTTGAAGTGATTTTCTTGCTTTGCCTTTTAATGTTTTCTTTCTCTCGACCTATAACATTTCTAGGATAACATAAAAAACCTAGAATTGGAAGTCATCAATCTGCAAAAGGAAAAAGAAGAATTGGTTCTTGAACTTCAGACAGCAAAGAAGGATGTCAACCATGCCAAGTAAGAAAAAAGTCAATACTATTATTTCAAGTCCCAAACTGTGTATGAAAAGCCATAGACGAAACAGAGAAGTGAAAGAGCCATTTCCTGCCCCTACAGGATTTAAACCTAATTATGGAGAGGAGACCTAAAACAAAAGAAAAGCTAAGGAACTGAGATTTTAAATAACATCTCATGGTGACAGTAAAAGAATGCCATAACACAGCATATGATTAGCAGCCAAATAAATTTCTTAGGCAGTAATGGCTTTAAGAGTTCAGAGGCAGGAGATATCAGTTCAGGCTGGCATGATCAAGGAAAGCTTTATAAGAAGTTAGCATTTGAGCTGTATTTTGAAAGGTTATCAGACCTACCAGACAGCAAGAGTTTCTTTGTCCCTGTGCTGATGGTAAATTAGTTTGTGAATAGAATTAATATTCAGGCTAGCAAATGAAAAATCAATCTAGCCATCCCTTAGCCGGTTAAGAATAAAACCAAGACAAATTACCAGAATATCCTACACTCCCTTAGACCTTTGCCTTTATTGGCTATTCTACCTTCTTTTTACTTAGTGATTCTGTTATATCTCTCTATAGTATCTAAAGTTCATGTTCTTAAAAGTTATGTTGAATGTTTACTTTCTATCTCAGACTTGTGTAACAATCATCGGAATTATTCCTTAGGCTCAAGTGAAGTGAAATGCCTTCAAAGAACCATCCTTTTAACGCAGAGTGGTGAGAGAGTAGTGTATTGAGGCAGCTACATTGTTACTTACGCAAAAAATTTCCTTTACTCTTTAGCTCCCAGTGTTGAGATGGTTTTGGTTGTTTGGGTGGGATTCATTATTTAAAGATGGCTATGTGACTGGCCGCCTATTTTATATATATCAAGGTTGTGAACCTGGGAGTCTAATATTATGTCTTTTGGAGTCAGACTTTGCTGCTGCTAGTCCTCATTCCTACAACATCTGTGTTTAGGTTGAGTGAGCGCCGCCGGAAACGTCTCCAGGAGCTAGAGGGTCAAATAGCTGATCTGAAGAAGAAACTGAATGAGCAGTCTAAACTTCTGAAGCTGAAAGAATCCACAGAGCATACCGTCTCCAAACTGAACCAGGAAATACGGGTAATAAACTCTCATCCTTGCATTTACCCTATAGAAACTTACAAACATAGGCGTTTTATTTAGAATTATACTACAGAGGTGTTTGCAGGTGAGAAAGTAGCAGGCAGGGCCCATCATTTCAAGTGTTTGAATCTCTACAAATGTCCCTTTTGTAGGACATTGTGCTAGCCATCTAGAATCTGAATAACAAAACTCTGCTTTGACATTCAGAGTTTTAATGTTAGATTCTCTGAAACCAAAGGGCGAGGATACCTTAATATTTAGTGGTGACATTCTGACCACTTTCCATGATCATGTGGAATAATTTTGCAAAGTGGTTGCAAAACAACAGATACATAGAGAAAATTTTCAGTCATTGAATGTTCAACTTCTGACATGTACAAAGTGGTGGTTACAGGTCATTGTACTGAAACTATTCGAATACAGTGGTTGCTAGGTAGATTTGTCCTTGAGACTTAGTAGATACTTCCTTGAAATTTCATTTATATGCAGTGAATTTAGGGCTGGATTTAGCTTGTAGGTACATTTTTTCTATTATTTCTTCAGAGCGTTCATTTGTATAGTCTATGCAAGAATAGCAAGTGGTATTGCAAACGTAATCAGAAAATCTGTTGGCAGGCTTCTCAGCTCAGCTCTGGATTTTTTTCTCTCTTCTTAATGGTTAGTCTATCCATCTGTACATCAGCCCAGAATAAGTGCAGATGACTACTATTCGTGCTGGTTTTTGTTTCTACAGGTGATGAAAAACCAGCGGGTACAGTTAATGCGTCAGATGAAAGAGGATGCTGAGAGGTTCAGACAGTGGAAGCAACAAAAAGACAAAGAAGTAATCCAATTAAAAGAACGGGTAAGTAACTACAATTTCTCAAAGTCCTACCTAATGAACCCTTTTCTGGGCTGACTAACATTAAAGCTTCTCTTCAAACAGCTGGTATCTCTAAATATATGATACATTCATGAATTTAACAACTATTTATTAAACGTCTACTACGTGCAAGATACTATCCACTAGATACCATGGAAAATAGAAAGATGAGTAGTATATGTGTTTTGCTCTTGAAGACTATCTTGTCTAAAGGGGAAAATGAGACATACGCATGATTTTCTTCAATACAAGAAATAAAGAGACTTGTGCTTTACAAATAGTCTAAAATACCAATGTAATTAAGAAAGGGAAGCACACTTCCAGTTGGACTGAAAAGACCTTGAACAATAGGGAGGATTTTGATAGAGATAAATGCAGGCATTCCAGATAAATGGAAGAGCAGGAACAAAGACACAGAGATGACAACTTTGTAGGAATAGCGAATGATCCAGGTGGGATGAAAGATAGTAGGAGAAGATTCCATTGGAAAGACAAGTTGAATCTGGATTGTTAAAGATCTAGGAAGTTTGAACTGTATTTTGTTAGCAGTGTAAAGATTTTTAAGGTTTTTGAGAAACAAAGTGCTATCAGCAAAGTACTGCTTTCCAAAGATACATCTGGGAGTCAGGTGTAGAACAAACTGAACTATTGAGAAACTGGAGGCCAGAACACAAGTTAAGCAGGTATTGCGTCATCCAGAAAGATAATAAGGGCCTGAATTCGAGTAGTAACAATGTTCTTGGAAAGAACATTGGAAAGGACATTAATTTGGGGTAATTTTTAGAATTGGCCAGAATGTGATATGTTGGGTCAGGAAATGAGAGAAGTACTTCAGGAATGGTGACATGAGGAATGGTGGCATGAGGAGCTTTGTGGACTCTCTTCCCAGCAAAAGAAGCACAACTGGTGAAATGTATTGTCCTAAGGGCATACAGCAAGGAACCGATTATTCAAGGAAATCTACTAAATCTGAGTAAGAACAACAATAGTCTGTGGCATATGAGCCACGACCAACTCTCTCCCTTCATCCCCCTCAGCTCCATGTTGCTGAAGCTTTGTTTCAGGCAAGAGCAGCCAAGAGATCTGGGGATCCCTTCTTCCACCTAGCCTCCATGCAGAGGGTGGAAGCTGTATCCCTGATGCAGAAGACCAGGACTACTGGGGTCTGACTACCATAACCCATCTAATCGTAGGATGTAGGTTCCATGTCAGGAGACCAGCCAAGAAAAATAGGGTATGCTGCCACTGGCCAGCATCCTACTCATAGAACAGAGATGTCACTCAGAGAAGTGGGCTTCTGTCCCCATCCCCAGGTCCTAAGCAGTGGTGCAGAGGATTCTGCCCAGGGGGAGGGGCAGTCCATAGGAATGCAGCTCTCCCTAAGGGGACTGACTTTATTTGGGGACAGAGTCTGGGGAAGTTAAAACCTAAAGGTGCTGTCAAAAACAATGGAAATTTTGATGGTGAGCAATTAAGAGGAGACTGGTAGCTCCATGAGAACAATAAATGAAACAGCAGTCGAAATATTCAAAGATCTAATGACTGAAAACGTTCTAAATTTGATGAAAAACATTAATCTACACATCTAAGAAGCTCAATCAACTACAAGTAGGATAAATGCAAAGAGATCAACACCCAAGACACATCATGTCCAATGGTTGAAAGACAAAGACAAAAAACTTAAAAACAGCAAGATAAAATTACTCATCACATACAAAGAAATCCCAATAAAATTAACAGCTGAATTCTCATAAGATCAGGAACAAGACAAGGGTATCCACTCTCGCCACTTCTATTCAACATTGTCCTGGAGGTTCTAGCCAGAACACTTAGGCAAGTAAAATATATGAAAGGCATCCACATTGGAAAGGAAAAAGCAAAACTATCTCTATTAGAGATGACATGATCTTGTATGTGGAAAATCCTAGAGAATCAACTGAAAACTATTAGAACTAATACATGTGTTCAGCAGGGTTGCAGGACATAAGTTCAATGCACAAAATTTGGTTGTATTTCTATTCACTAACAATTTGAAAATGAAATTAAGAAAGTTCCTTTTATAATAACATCAATAAGAATAAAATACTTAGGAATAAGCTTAACAAGTGTAAGACTTATACACTAAAAACTACATCATTAAATTAATTAAAGATCTAAATAGGGCTTCCCTGCTGGTGCAGTGGTTAAGAATCCACCTGCCAATGCAGGGGACACGGGTTTGAGCCCTGGTCTGGGAAGAGCCCACATGCTGCGGAGCAACTAAGCCCGTGCGCCACAACTACTGAGCCTGTGCTCTAGAGCCTGCAAGCCACAACTACTGAGCCCATGCACCACAACTACTGAAGCCCGCGTGCCTAGAGCCTGTGCTCCACATCAAGAGAAGCCTCCACAATGAGAAGCCCACGCACCACAATGAAGAGTAGCCCCAACTCGTCGCAACTAGAGAAAGCCTGCACGCAGTGATGAAGACCCAACACAGCCAAAAAATAAATAAATTAATTTTTTTTAAAAAGATCTAAATACATGGAACAATAATCCATGCTCATGGATGGGAAGACTTAATATTCTTAAGTTGGAATACCCCCTCAGATTGATCTACAGATTCAACACAATCCCAACCAAATTTCCTCTAGCTTATTGGTAGAAATTCACATGCTGATCCTAAAAGTCATATGGAGATGCAGGTGACCCAGAATAGTCATAACAATCTTGAAAGAGAACAATACATTTGGAGATATCACATTTCCTGATTGCAACACAACCATCACCTCACATAGTTACCCCTTCTTTTCAGTGTAGGGAGAACACTTAAGATCTACTCTCCTAACAAATTTCAAGTATACAGTATAGTAGTATTAACTATAGTTACTATGCTATACATAGATCCCCAGAACTTATTCATTTTATAACTAAAATTTTGTACCCTTTGACCAACCTTTCCCCATTTTCCTCACTGCCCCCATCCCCTCTCCAGTACCTGGTAGCTATCATTCTACTGTCTGGTTATATGAGTTTGACTTTTTTAGATTTCACATATAAGTGAGATCATATAGTATTTGTCTTTCTCAGTCTGGTTTATTTCACTTACCACAGTGACCTCCAGGTTCATCCATGTTGTTACAAATAGCAGGATTTCCTTGTATGTGACTGAATGATATTCCATTGTATATACAGTTGACCCTTGAACAACGTGGGTTTGAACTGCGCGGGTCAACTTATACATATATTTTTTTCAATAGTAAATACTACACTACTATACTATCCACAGTTGGTTAAATCCATGGATGCAGAACCACAGATATGGAGGGCCAACTGTAAAGTTACACATGAATTTTCGACTGCATGGGGGTTGGCACCCCTAACCCCACGTTGTTCAGGCGTCAACTGTATACACGTACCACATTTTCTTTATCCATTCATTTGTCAACAGCTTAGGTCAACTTAGGTTGTCAACTTAGGTTGTTTCCATATTTGGTTATTGTGAATAATGCTGCAACGAATATGGGAATGCAGATATCTCTTCAAGATACTGATTTCATTTCCTTTGGATATATATATACCCAGTAGTGAGATTGTCAGATCATATGGTCTTTCTATTTTTAATTTTTTAAGGAACCTCCATACTGATTTCCATAAAGACTATACCATTGAAAGACTCTTCAGTTACATTATAAGGTTTTATTTTAGCTAGCTGAATAGCAATAAAAAGTCTGACTCTTTTCTTCTCAGGACCGTAAGAGGCAATATGAACTGCTCAAACTTGAAAGATGCTTCCAGAAACAGTCTAGTGTGCTCAGACGTAAAACTGAAGAGGTAAGAAAATCCAATCTGCTAGGTCAAGTGTATTATCACTTTCAGGCTTGGATGATGGCAGAGGAGTATCCCTTAAATGAGCCAGTGTCCTGAGAAACCAGGGATAACAGTCTTGACCAGCAGTTCCTAAGTCTTGATCCCTGTTTGTCATGAGCTGTCAGCAGATAAAAACCTGATGAAAATGGCACTATTCAAATAAGGATTTTTTCTAATTGGGCTTGCTTCTTTCCAAACAAAACAAAACAAAAAGAGTAATTCTGATATATGACATTTCCAGACGCTTTCAATCTGCAGTGCTTCCTTGAAATTGTGTGCCTCCCCTAGGCTCTAACGGAGTAGCTGTTCACCAGTGTTATGTACATGGAGACTTATAAATGTAGTTCCTATAAGAATTCAAACCCATAGAATTTTTTATTTTTCTTGACTAATATGCTAGAAATTAGAATGTTCTTTCTTTTTTATTATGTTAATATAAATTATTTTATTGAAGTAGAATATATATACCTAAAAAGGGCACAAATATTATGTACATCTCCATGAGTTATTCCAAAGCGAAAAAACCTGTACAACCATCAACCTAAGACAAACAAGTCACTACTAGAACCTTAGAACTTCATCCCCACCCCCACCTGTTCTCTCTCCAAATGACGAGTCCTTCCCTCTTCCTCAGAGGTAACGACTGTCCTGACTTCTAACACTACAAATTATTTTTCCTGGTTTTGAAGGGAATTACAGAGAATGAAGTGCATCTTGTTTCTTTGATTTGGTAGTAGAATTGTAATAAACACCAATGCTGTTGCACGTAGGGGTGGTTTGCTCTGAACTTGCCTTTCAGTATCTTTTGGCACAGGTACGTGAGCATTTCTGGTGAGTTATACCTAGGGGGGAAATGATGAATCACAGGGATTGTGTATGTTCAAGTTTAGTTAATAATGACAAATGATTTTCCATGGTGTTTGTACCAAAGTTTACTCACACCAGCCATGGATAAGAGTTTCAGTTGCTCCATATCCTCACTAACCTGGGGATTGTCAGTCGTTTTATTTTTCATCGTAGCCACTCCAGGGTTTAAGTAAAAGCATCTCACTGGGTTCTAATTTGTATTTCTCAGATGATTAGATGTATGAATCATCAGATACATAATTAATGAAGAATGTTCTTCTTTCTACCCTTCAATTCAACATTACTATGAGCCATTTTTATTTAGGCAGCAGCTGCCAACAAGCGTCTCAAGGATGCTCTCCAAAAACAACGAGAGGTCGCAGAAAAGCGGAAGGAGACTCAGAGCCGTGGAATGGAAGGCACTACAGCTCGAGTGAAGGTATGGACAACTTGAACTGCCATTTGTCTTATGTACATTGGGAATAGGAAAAAATGGGAAGTAGCTTTCTTTTCGTTTAGAAGTAAACACTACAAAATCTGGAGTTCTACCCGAAAGCATTATTTCCTAAAGATATGATTATCTCTGAACGGTTGTTAAAGACCATGAGTAGTGAACCCTTTCTATCCCTGGCCCTGTTCAGTTAATTTTTAAAGTTTTATTGAGGTATACTTGACCTACAATAAATTATACATATTTAAAGTGTACAGTTTAATAAGTTTTGACACAGATATGCGCCCATTAAATCATCACCACAATCAAGATAAAGTCAGTGTCCATCAGGACCAAAACTTTCTTCGTACACCTTTGTAATCCCTCCCTCCCCTCCCCAGTCTATCCCTCTACGCCCCATCTCCAGGCAGCCATTAATCTGCTTTCTGTCACTGGATTTTCTACATAGACGATCACATCATCTGCGCATAGGGACAATTTTATTTATCCTTACCCACTCTGTATGCCTTTAAAAAAAACTTTCTTGCCTTATTGTACTTGCTAGAACCTCCAATAAAATATCGAATAGAATAGGTGAAAAGAGGGCATCCTTGCTTTGTTCCCAATCTTAGAGAGAAAGCATTCAGCCTTTCACCGTTAAGTACGATATTAGCTATAGGTTTTTTGTATATGTTCTTCATCAGGTTGAAGAAGTTCTTGTCTGTTCTTAGTTTGCTGAAAGTTTTTATGATGAATAGATGTTGGATTTTTTCAAAAGTTTTTTCTGAATCTTCTTGAGCTGATCTTATGGTTTCTGATCTTTTTGAGATAATCTTCTTGAGGTGATCTTAAGATCTTATGGTTGGTTGGTTTGTTTTTATTCAGTATGGCAAACGACATTGATTTTTTTCCAACTTATTTTATTAAGGTATAACTGATGTACAGTAAGATCTACCCTTTTTACTGTAGTTCTGCAAGTTTTAACATCATATACAGGTGTATAACCACCACCACAATAAAAATATAGAGTAGTTCTATATTCCCCTATAACACTTTGTAGTCAGTTTCTCCCACATCCATATGCTGGCCCTTCACAAACACTGATCTGTATTCTGTCATTATTGTTTTCACTTTGCATTGCATCAGTGTCATATAACTGGAAACGTACAGTATGGCTTCTTTCACTTAGCATAAGGCATTTGATATTCATCCATGTTGTTGCCTGTATTATTCCATCATATGGATGTTCCACAGTTTATCTATTCGCCTGTTAAAGGTTATCTTGGAGTCTTTTTTTTCCCTAGTTTTTGGTGATCATGAATAAGGCCACTATAAAGGCATTCACATACAGGTTTCTGTATAACAAAGGTAGTCATTTCACTTGGGTAAATACCGAGGAGTGGGATTGCTCGGTCATATGGTAAGTGTATGTTTAACTTTATAAGAAACTGCCAAGGGACTTCCCTAGTGGTCTAGTGGTAAAGAATCCACCTTCCAATGCAGAGGACGCAAGTTAGATCCCTGGTAGGGGAACTAAGATCCCACATGCCGCAGGGAAACTAAGCCTGCACACCACAACTACTGAGTGTGCGCACCTCAACTAGAGAGCCTGAGTGCTGCAAACTACAGAGCCCATGTGCCACAACTAGGGAGAAGCCCATGCGCCACAACTAGGGAGAAGCCCATGCGCCACAACTAGAGAGAAGCCCTTGTGCCTCAACAAAGAGCCCGAGAGCTGCAACAAAAGATCCCACATGCCACAACAAAGATCCCACATGCCACAACTAAGACCTGACACAGCCAAAAATAAAATTTTTAAAAATCTAATAATATCAAAACAAAGAAGATATACAGACTGCCAATAAACACATGAAAGAATGCTCAACATCATTAATCATTAGAGAAATGCAAATCAAAACTACAATGAGATATCATCTCACACCAGTCAGAATGGCCATCATCAAAAAATCTAGAAACAATAAATGCTGGAGAGAGTGTGGAGAGAAGGGAACACTCTTGCAGTGCTGGTGGGGATGTAAATTGGTACAGCCACTATGGAGAACAGTGTGGAGGTTCCTTAAAAAACTACAAATAGAACTACCATATGACCCAGCAATCCCACTACTGGGCATATACCCTGAGAAAACCATAATTCAAAAAGAGTCATGTACCAAAATGTTCATTGCAGCTCTATTTACAATAGCCAGGAGATGGAAGCAACCTAAGTGTCCATCATCGGATGAATGGATAAAGAAGATGTGGCACATATATACAGTGGAATATTACTCAGCCATAAAAAGAAACGAAATTGAGCTATTTGTAATGAGGTGGATAGACCTAGAGTCTGTCATACAGAGTGAAGTAAGTCAGAAAGAGAAAGACAAATACCGTATGCTAACACATATATATGGAATTTAAGGGAACAAATGTCATGAAGAACCTTGGGGTAAGACAGGAATAAAGACACAGACCTACTAGAGAATGGACTTGAGGATAAGGGGAGGGGGAAGGGTAAGCTGTGACAAAGTGAGAGAGAGGCATGGACATATATACAGTACTAAACGTACGGTAGATAGCTAGTGGGAAGCAGCCACATAGCACAGGGAGATAAGCTCAGTGCTTTGTGACGGCCTGGAGGGTGGGATAGGGAGGGTGGGAGGGAGGGAGACGCAAGAGGGAAGAGATATGGGAACATATGTTTATGTATAACTGATTCACTTTGTTATAAAGCAGAAACCAACACACCATTGTAAAACAATTACACTCCAATAAAGATGTAAAAAATAAAATAAAAAGTTTAAAGAAAAACTACCAAATTATTTATCTAGTTGTTCAGTGCTGGTATATAGAAATACAACTGATTTTTGTATATTAACTTTTATCTTCTGACTTTATTAGTTTAGTGGCTATTTTGTAGGTTCTTTGGGACTCTCTACATAGACAATCATGCCATCTATAAATAGTTTTATTTCTTCCTTTATAATCTATATGTCTTTTATTTATTTTACTTGCCCTGTTGCATTGGCTAGGACATTCAGGATGATGTTGAATAGGAGTAGTGACAGTAGAAACCCTTCTGCTATTCCTGATCTCAGGGGAACAGTATTCAGTCTTTACCATTAAGTATGACATTAGCTATAGGTTTTTCAGAGGCCCTTTATCAACTTAAGGAAGTTCTTATCTATGCTTAGTTTTCTGTGAGTTTTTATCCTGAGTGGATATAATTTTTTTTTTTTTGGCCACGCTGCACAATTTGCGGCATCTTACTTCCCTGACCAGGGATCAAACCCAGGCCCCCAGCAGTGAAAGTGCCGAGTCCTAACCACTGGACCACCAGGGAATTTCCAATGAGTGTGTATAAATTTTGTCAAATACTTTTTGTCTCTAGTTTGTTGATTTGGTGAATGACTTTGATGTTCAAATATGGAACCAGCCTTGCATTCTTTGAATAAGTTCCACTTGGTTGTGATATATCATCCTTTTTATGTATTATTGAATTCAACAGTACATAAAATTAAGATTTTGCTAAAATAAAATTTCGTGTAAAATTTTTGCATCTGTGTTCATGAGATATTGGTCTGTTGTTTTCTTGTAGTGTCTTTGTCTGGTTTTGGTATCAAGGCCTCTTAGAATACGTTAGAAACTATTGCCCCCTCTTCAATTGTCTGTAAGAGTTTGTATAGAACTAATATTGTTTTTTCCTTAAAAGTTTGGTACAGGGACTTCCCTGGTGGTCCAGTGGTTAAGAATTCGCCTTCCAATGCAGGGGATTGCGGGTTCCATCCCTGGTCAGGGAACTAAGATCCCACACACCACGGGGCAGCTAAGCCCACACACCGCAACTACTGAGCCCATGTGCCGTAACTACGGAGCCCATGCACCACAACTACGGAGCCCACACGCTGCAACAAAAGATCCTGCATGCCGCAACTAAGACCCGATGCAGCCATATATAAATAAATAAATATTTTTAAAAATAAAAATAAAAATCCTTTAAAAAAAAGAAGAGGAAGTTTGGTACAGTTCACAAGTTAAGCCATCTGGACCTGAAGGATGTTTTTGTTAGTTGTTGCTTTTGGTGGGGAGGAGGGGTTAACTGTAATTCAGTTTTTTAACTGGATATAGGGTTGTTCGGGTTATATATTTCCTCTTGAGTGAGCTTTGGTAGTTTGTGTGTTTCGTCTAAATTGTCAAATTTATTGGTATGAAGTTATTCATAATATTTCTTTATTATCCTTCTAATGTCTGTAAAAACTGTAGTAATGTCCTCTATCTCATTCCTGTTATTGATATTTTGTGTCTTTTCTCCTTTTTCTTGATCAGTTTGGCTAAGGTTTATCAAAGAACCAGCTCATTCTTACAAATGGTTAAAATAGTAAATTTTATGTTATGTATATTTTACCACAATTAAAAACAGTACCCCCAAAACCCTAGCTCATTAATTTCCAATCTGACCTTTATTATTTCCTTATTTCTGCTTTGGATATAATTGGCTTTTTTTCTTAAAGGTGGAACCTGAGGTCATTGATTTGAGTTCTTTTCTTTTCTAATATAAACATTTAGTTCTATAAATTTCCCCTTCAGTACTCCTTTAATGACATCCCACAAATTTTGATAGTTATGTTATCATTCAATTCAAAATACATTCTAATTTCCCTGTTGATTTCTTCTTTGATCCACAGTTATTTAAAATGATGTTATTTAGTTTCCAAATATTAGGAGATTTTTCCAAATATCTTTCTGTTATGATTTCTAATTTAATTTCATTATGGTTAGAGACTATCCTTTATATGACTTGAATCCTTTTGAATTTTTTGAGACTTATGGCCTAGAATATGGTCAGTCTTGGCAAATGTTCAAACTGTATGTACTTGAGAAGAATGTATATTCTGCTGTTGTTGGATAGAGTGTTCTACAAATGTCAATCATGTTAATTTGATTGATTGTGCCATTCATTTCTACTGTATTCTTGCTGATTTTCTGCCTACTTGTTCTATCAGTTACTTAGAGATGGGTATTGAAATCTTCAATTAGAATTATGGATTTGTCTTTTTCTTATTATAGTTCTGGTTTTGCTCTGTATATTTTGAAGCTCTGTTATTAGAGGCATAAACATGTAAGATTAATTGATCCCTTTATTATTATAATAATAAGTTTATTATTATGATCATTTTTATCCCGAGCAATATCCTTTGTTCTGAAATCTTATTCTGATAATAATATAGTCCCTCCAGCTTTCTTTTTTTTTTTTGCGGTACGCGGGCCTCTCACTGTTGTGGCCTCTTCCGTTGCGGAGCACAGGCTTCGGACGCGCAGGTTCAGTGGCCATGGCTCACGGGCCCAGCCGCTCCGCGGCATGTGGGATCCTCCCAGACCGGGGCACGAACCCGTGTCCCCCGCATCGGCAGGCGGACTCTCAACCACTGTGCCACCAGGGAAGCCCCTTCCAGCTTTCTTTTAATGTTAGCATGGTATATTTTTTTAAAATCCTTTTAGCTTTAACCTCTTTGTGCCTTTGTGTGTTTTTAAAGTGTTTTTCTTGTAGGCAGTATACAGTTGAGTCTAGCTTTTTTAATCCAGTCTGACAATCTGCATTTTAATTGGGGTGTTTAGACCATTTACATTTAATGTGATTATTGATATGGGTTGATTTGAATCTATCTTATTGCTATTTGTTTTCTATTTGTCCCATCTGTTCTTCATTCCCTTTTCCTTGTTTTCTGGCTTCTTTTGGATCAATTGAGTATTTTTATGATTCCATATTATCTCCTTTATTGGCTTATATATGATTTTGTTTCAGATATTTTGGTGCTTTGTATATTAGGGGCATAAACATTAAGGATTAGGTTCTCTTGAATAATTGACTCCCTTACCATTATGAAATTACATTTTTTTATCCTTGATAATATTCCTCTTTTTTCTTTCAGTTTTACTGAGATAAATTGATAAACAGCACTGCAAAAGTTTAAGGTATACAGCATAGTGATTTGACTTATATACATCTTGAAATGATTATCACAATAAGTTTAGTGAACATCCATCATTCATATAGATACAAAATTAAAGAAATAGGGCTTCCCTGGTGGCGCAGTGGTTGAGAGTCCGCCTGCCGATGCAGGGGACACGGGTTCGTGCCCCGGTCCGGGAAGATCCCACATGCCGCAGAGCAGCTGGGCCCGTGAGCCATGGCCGCTGAGCCTGCACGTCCGGAGCCTGTGCTCCGCAATGGGAGAGGCCACAACAGTGAGAGGCCCGCATACCGCAGAAAAAAAATTTTTTGTGTGTGATGAGAACTCTTAGGATTTAGTCTCTTAACAACTTTTATATATAGCATACAGCAGTGTTAATTATATTTATCATGTTGTACATTACATCCCTAGTACTTACTTAATCTTATAACTGGAAGTTTGTACCTTTGACTGCCTCTCTGGTAACCACAAATCTGATCTTTTTTTCTATGAGTTTGTTAGTTTGTTTATTTTTGAAGTATAATTGACCTACAGCACTATGTTAGTTCCTGTTACACAACAGTGATTCAATATTTCTATACATTTAAAAATGATCACCATGATAAGTCTAGTTGCAATATGTCACCATACAAAGATATTACATAGTTATGGACTATATTCCCCACACTGTACATTTCATACCCTTAACTCCTTTATTTTGCAACTGGAAGTTTGTACCTCTTAATCTCCCTCACCTATTTCTTTCCTCCCTCTATGCCCCTCCCCCTGGCAATCACCTGTTTGTTCCCTGTATCTATAACTGTTTCTGTTTTGTTATGTTCATTTGTTTTGTTTTTTAGATTCCCCTTATAAGTGAAATCACGCAGTTTTTGTCTTTCTCTGTCTGACTTATTTCACTAAGCATAATATCCTCTAGGTACATTCATGTTGTCGCAGATGGCAAGATTTCATTCTTACGGCTGAGTAATATTCCATCGTATATACATATATATATCTCACATCTTCTTTATCCATTCATCTATTGATGGCAGTTAGGTTACTTCCATATCTTGGCTATTGTAAATAATGCTGCAATGAACATAGGGGTACATATGTCTTTTCTAATTAGTGTTTTTGTTTTCTTTGGATAAATACCCAGGAGTGGAATTGCTGGATCATATGGCAGTTCTATTTTTAATTTATTGAGAATCTCCATACTGTTTTCCATAGGGGCTGCACCAATTTACCTTCCCACCGACAGTGCATGAGGGTTCTCTTTTCTCCACATCCTCACCAACACTTGTTTTTGTTTTTTTACTTTTTATTTTCTATTAGAATACAGTTGATTAACAATGTTGTGACAGTTTCAGGTATACACACTGCTGTATTTAGAATGGATAACCAACACTTGTTTTTTGTTGTCTTTTTGATAATAGCCATTCTGACAGGTGTGAGGTGATATCTCATTGTGGTTTTGATTTGCACTTCCCTGATGATTAGCCATGTTGAACATCTTTTCATGTGCCTGTTGGCCATCTGTATGTCTTCTTTGGAAAAATGTCTATTCAGATCCTCTATCCACTTTTAAACCTGGTTGTTTGGTTTTGTTTGTTTGTTTGTTTTTGATGTTGAATTGTATGAGTTCTTTGTGTATTTTTGGATATTAACCCATATCAGTTATATCGTTTGCAAATATCTTCTCCCATTCAGTAGGTGGCCTTTTCATTTTGTTGATAGTTTCCTTCACTGTGCAAGAGCTTTTAGTTTGATATAGTCCCATTTGTTTATTTTTGCTTTTCTTCCCTTGCCTGAAGAGACATAGCCCCCAAAATATTACTAAGACTGATGTCAGAGAGCTTACTGCCTATGTTTTCTTCTAAAAAGATTTATCGTTTCAGGTCTTACGTTTAGGTCTTTGATCCATTTTGAATCTATTTTTGTGCATGGTGTGAGAGGGTAGTCCAGTTTGATTCTTTTGCATCTAGCTGTCCAGTTTTCCCATCACCATTTATTGAAGAGGCTGTCTTTTCCCCATTGGTATATTCTTGCCTCCATTGTCATAGATTTATTACCCATATAAGTGTGGGTTCATTTCTGGGCTCTCTATTCTGTTCCATTTATCCATGTGTCTGTTTTTGTGCCAGTACCATACTGTTTTGATTACTGTGGCATTGTAGTATAGTTTGAAATCAAGGAGCATGATACCTCCAGCCTTTGTTCTTCTTAATAATATTCTTTGATGTAAATTCTATATTATTTGATATTACTATATCCACTCCAGCTTTCTTTGATTACTCTTAGCATGGTATATCTTCATCCAAAAGTGAAAGGTTTCTCAGGGATGGTTACTTTTTTAAAAACTGAATTTAGTTAATTTTGTTTGCTTTTTTTAAAAATTCCATTCGTCTATTTTAAAGATTAATAATAGTTATCTATTTATTAAATAGAACAGGTAATCTAAATATACTTCAGTTCTATATTATGACTTGTTAAGGACAAAGGTTAAGGAGAAAGTGGAGAAGGTAAAGACAGAATACATAGAAATGCTAGGATATCTGGAGAAAGATTTTCTGCAGAAAACTTTTCTTGTGACCTTTTGGGATATTGCTGTTAAAGGCTCTTAGAGCATTATTGGGATTTTTGGTCAGTGTAGGCACAAATGGAAATCTCACTTCTAGTTACTTGGGCTCTGGTCCAAGTGAAATTAAATCTGGAGCTGAATATAGCCCATGGGCCAGAGATTCCTCATCCCTAACCCAACATCACTGATTTATCTTCTAGAGTTGGCTTGGAAATGAAATTGAGGTTATGGTCAGTACTGAGGAAGCCAAGCGCCATCTGAATGACCTTCTTGAAGACAGAAAGATCCTGGCTCAGGATGTGGCTCAACTCAAAGAAAAAGTGGAATCTGGGGAGAATCCACCTCCTAAACTCCGCGTAAGTGCCCTATGGAAATACGTTACCAATGATCAGACTCCACACTCCCCAGAAGCCCTCACTACTTTGGAGAATTACTTTCCAAGTAGTACTTCACCCTCATCCCCACTATTCTTCTTTACAGAGGCGTACATTCTCACTTGCTGAACTGCGTGGTCAAGTTTCTGAGTCAGAGGATTCCATTACAAAGCAGATTGAAAGCCTAGAGACTGAAATGGAACTCAGGTAATGGGACTATGTCTAAGGCATTATAAAAATTTATGCCTTGAATCAAAATAGAACCTATCAATCAGTTATTCAAAAGCTTGTTTTTCAGAAGCTTTGTGATGTAGGAGAAACAAGAAAAAGTAACAATTTTTGAGCTATACACTTCACTAGACATGTTAGATACATTTTCTCATTCAGTCTCTCCCTATGAGGTATACCTTGTGAGGTAAGTACCATTCTTCTCACTTTAGAGATCTAAGCTAAAGGTTCAAAGATCTTAAAAAATTTGCTGAAGTTTATACAGAACTGGGATTTGAAACTCAGTTTATCTAATTCCAAAGTCTATGGTCTTTATCATATACCACAAGAACTGACTAAAAACAAAACTTTAGAGGAACCCAAGAAATGATACCAGAAGATCAACAACCTGGGAGAAGGAGAATTAGAGATCATCAGCAAAGTAGATATAATATAATGCATAAGTAAAGTATCATGACCATTAAATGAGATTAGAAAGTAAAGTACATAGCACAGTACTTGGCATATTAGAAGTGCTCAATGAATGCTCTTCTCTTTAATCACTGTTACTTTCTTTTAAGTACCTGTGAAATCTAGAAGGAACAAAACTTTGACAGATATTTTATAGTGTCTTAGGGTAATACAATTTTATTGCCCAGAAGACCTTGGAGACCATTTAATTTGTTTTTAGCAACACATACTAGCTGTTTATCTTTGGATATGTCTTTAAGTTGCTCAACATTTGAGTTTCTGCTTTATGCCGCACTGGATGCAGTTGGGATATATAGAAAGAATAGATGGCATTGTCCTTGCTCTCGAGTAGAAACAGTATAATGACTGACAGTGGTGTGTTGGAATTGTTTGTTAAAATTTTAAGACGGTTGTAAACTGTTGAGAGCTTACAATTCCTTTGATGAGAGTATTCACACTACAGAAACTAGCAAAAGCTACAAATCAGATCTGTTTTTTTAGGTACTGTTTGTTAAACATTTACCTGCACACCACTGTGCATAAGTAAATGATTATTTAAATGTAGGGCAGGTGCCAGGTAGAGGGCAATTAGACAGAGGTGACTTTAATCAAGGGAATTTCCCTAAGGGCAAGAAAGGGCATTTGATAGATAAAACAACTCTGAAGTGTTCTGGCCCACCTCTTCCAAGAAGCCTTCCCTGACTCTTCATCCCTCATTAATTTTCCTCTTCTCTAAACTCCTTCAGAACTTACAGTACTCGGTCATGTAGTATAGATGATGTATGTTATCTTTATATTTATTAATTATTTTACATTGATTAGTCTTGTCAATCTAGACAGATTGTAAGCTTGTTAAAGGAAAAGACTATATATTAGACCAGGGTTCTCAAAGTGAGGTCTACAAACTCCTGGGGTGTCACTGAGACCCTTTCAGGGAGTCTAGGTGACTCCCTGTTTTTATAATAGTATTAAGACATTGTTTGCCATTTTTACTACACTGACATTTGCCATGATAGTGCAAAAGCAACAGTGGACAAAACTGCTAACACCTTAGCTTGAATCAAACCAGTAGCACAAACCTGTACTAGCAGTCATTGAATACTTCACCACCACACACTCTCGGTTTTACTTAAAAGTCAGTTTTACTTTTGGCTTTGATAAAGCAATAAAAATTATTAATTTTATTAAATCTCAACCCTTGAGTTCAGACCTTTTTAATATTCTGTGTGACAGAATGGGAAGAACACATAAACCACTTGTGCTGATGCCGAAGGACGATGTTTCTCTCGAGGAAAAGCACTTGTGTGATTGTTTGAGGTGTGAGTTTAACGGGCCTCTTTTTTCATGGAACATCATTTTTACTTGAAAGAACGACTGACAGACAAACTATGGTTATTCAGATTTGGGTACTTGGCAGACATTTTCTCAGAAATGAACCGAGTGAGCCTGTCAAGTCAAGGAAAACAAATGACAGTGTTTGTCACCAAAAATAAAATTTGAGCTTTCAAGCAAAACTTAGAATTTTGGAAAACGTGTATCTGCCACTGTAAACTTGACAGTTTTTCATAACTTTTCTAATGAGACCAGTAGTGATATTAACAATTGTGGTCTTTTTTATATTGTGTAATGAAATGTGTTGATTTGAAGGCTCTGTATGACTGTCCAAATGACATGTTACAGAATCACGTTTGAGTAAAAGATCCATTCAGATTGCAAGTAACCACATTTCAACTAACTTTTAAGGAACTTGTTGGGTTTTGGTGTAGTCTCAAAGAAGAATATCCACAATTATCTGAAAAGGCTATTAAAATGCTCCTCCTGGGCTTCCCTGGTGGCGCAGTGGTTGAGAGTCCGCATGCTGATGCAGGGGGACGTGGGTTCGTGCCCCGGTCCGGGAAGATCCCACATGCCTCAGAGCGGCTGGCCCCGTGAGCCATGGCCGCTGAGCCTGTGCGTCTGGAGCCTGTGTTCCACAACGGGAGAGGCCACAACAGTGAGAGGCCCGCGTACAGCAAAAAAAAAAAAGCTCCTCCTGGGGCCTTCCCTGGTGGCACAGTGGTTAAGAATCCGCCTGCCAATGCAGGGGACAGGGGTTCGAGCCCTGGTCTGGGAAGATCCCTTGTGCCGCAGAGCAACTAAGCCTGTGCACCACAACTACTGAGCCTGCAGTCTAGAGCCCACAAGCCACAACTACCGAGCCCAAGTGCCACAACTATTGAAGTCCATGCGCCATGAGCCCCTGTTCCACAACAAAGAGAAGCCACCACAATGAGAAGCCCACGCACCGCAACGAAGAGTAGCCCCCACTCGCCGCAACTAGAGAAAGCCCATGCACAGCAACGAAGACCCAATGCAGCCAAAAATAAATAAAATTAAAAATAAAAAAGGCTCCTCCCAGGAATTCCCTGGCAGTCCAGTGATTAGGACTCGGCACTTTCACTGCAGTGGCCTGGGTTCAGTCCCTGGTCGGGGAACTAAGATCCCGCAAGTCGCACGGTACGGCCACAATAAAATAAAATAATAAAATAAAATGCTCCTCCCTTGTCCAGCTACGTATCCATGTGCGGCCAGATTGCCTTCATTTACATCAACCAGAACATATTACAAAAGATTAAACGCAGAGGGAGATATGAGAATCCAGCTATCTTCTACTAAACCAGACATTACAGAGATTTGTAAAAATGTAAAACAATCCCACTCTTCTCACTACATTATTTTTTGTGTTGGAGAATGTTGTTGTGTGTGTGTGTGACACACACACTCCCCCAACCTGCATTCATGTCCTTTCCAGACCTTAGAATGTGACTTTATTTGGAAATAGTGTCATTGCAGGTGTAATTGTTAATGTATAATGGATTGTTTTGATTTTAAGTGAATTAATAAATGTTTTTCTCAGTTTTACTTTCTAATACTGTAAATATCTATAGGTATAACATACATGAGCTGAATTTGTTAGAGGTCCTCAATAATTTTTAAGAGTGTAAAGGGGTCCTAAGACCCAAAAAGTTTAGAGCTGCTATCTTAGATTATTTTAGTACCCATCTTCTTTATAGTACCTTACATAGCACTGCATGTTATACACATGCCGGTATGCTCCCTCTCACTGGACACCTAGCAAATTTGAGAAGGAAGCTATTGACAAAACTGAAATATTGTGTACATCTTGGTCTCAGGCCATACTTGACCATAAAGTATCTGGAAGCTATAACCAGGGTCATGGTATCTAGTTTTCGTAGAAACTTCTCAGTCCTGTGGCAGGTACTCCAAGATAACCTCTCACGACACCAGCCATAGGTATCAGTTTGGTGTTAGATTCCAGCAAAGAGCATCTACCTGTTTGTTCTTTTGAGATTTTTTTCCCTTAAGATCTCTAACCTGAATCTTGTCCTTGCATAGGTGAGCCACCACGTCACAGTTCCAGCTTATGTGGCCTCAAGACAAAGTCACATTATGGTCAATGTGCTACAACAAAAGCCTCACTAAAACAAATCTTTCCAAGTCCCACTATATGACCCACTTATTTCAACCAGTATTTAATAAAATAAAACCATTTGGTTAGTCTTAGCATCCCTTTGTAACAAGTTTTGAGATACTGTATAAAACCCTAACCAGATGACTCAATCATTATTTAAATGGTATTTAACTGATACCTCTGTCCGTGAAACTATTTGAAGTTTCTCCTCAGAGCTCTTCCCCTCTCCTTGGTGTTGAGGCTACTAGAAATAAGGCTCATTGTTTCTTTCCCTGAAGGAGTGCTCAGATTGCTGACCTACAGCAGAAGCTGCTGGATGCAGAAAGTGAAGACAGGCCAAAACACCGCTGGGAGAATATTGCTACCATTCTGGAAGCCAAGTGTGCCCTGAAATACTTAATTGGAGAGGTAAACATCTCTCTTCCTCTCAGCAATTCAGGGTCTGGCTTGGTGGGTTGAAATAAGATGTTAGCCTAGAATACTATCATAGTGTTATTGCCACTGCTCATGGTAGAAACCACAATGACACAAACATTAGAGAAATAGTTTTATGGGTAAAGGTTGGTGTGGGCAAGTACAAGCCAGTCACTTAAAAATATATATGAGTGCTCGCTTCGGCAGCACATATACTAAAATTGGAATGATACAGAGAAGATTAGCATGGCCCCTGCGCAAGGATGACACACAAATTCGTGAAGCGTTCCATATTTTAAAAAAAAAAAAATATATATATATATATATGAGTTGCAAGTTGATACCCATACCTGGCATATAGCAGGTGCTCAATAAATGTTCACTGTTATTATTATGAAAAATCAGGATGCCATAGTAGGCCACAGGTCAAACGTAAAATATTATACTATACTACTTTTTAAAACACCTCTGACATGTATTATATTCAAAAAGTTTAAGATACAATCTAGGAAAGAGAAAACCTTTGACATATAAAGATTCATCTTAAGGAAAATCCATCTTCACTGACCTTAAAATAAATATATCATCTTCCACTGTCACAAGAGGAATTAAAATTGATCACCTCTGGTGATTGAAGCAAGCATACAAACTCCAACTCTGCAAGTTTGAGCAGTGCTATCCTTTATGCATTTTTGTGTTGGGTTAGCAGATTTTTCCTACTAAGGAAATCCTGATTAGTCTTGTGAACACTGGTGTTTATGATGTTCACCATCTGGGCTAGTAGAGAATATAAAACTAGGCCAGCATAGGATATCAATCTAGCCTGAAGAGCCAGAGCTGTAGTCTCGGCTAATGTGTCTACAAGTTCCAACATGTGAACACAGACATTCTGAAATGGGACATAATTAGCCATAAGGGTGTGTGCTGTGGATTTCTCTTTAAAATTAAGGAAGAACTTCTTGAGTATCAGAGTTTGGAATTGTCAGATACTGTTTGTGTTAGGTTTATTCTTGCCTTGAGGTAAAACAAGGGATTAAATGACCTCAGCAGTGGCTTCCAGCTCTAAGATACCTATCTCAGCAGATATCTATCTCGGCCCTTGGTTTGGGTGGTGGTGATTCTATTCAATGGTAGAATCCATATGACATGAAAACATAAGAATGGACTTGGACATGGAAGAACTTTTCTCAGTCCATTTCAAGAAAGCTGACATTTTCCTGCCTAATGAATGGGGAAAGGTGGCCATTCTCCAAATAAACTGATCTTCTTTTATCCCTTCCAGCTGGTCTCCTCCAAAATACAGGTCAGCAAGCTTGAAAGCAGCCTGAAACAGAACAAGGCCAGCTGTGCTGACATGCAGAAGATGCTGTTTGAGGAACGAAATCATTTTGCTGAAATAGAGACAGAGTTACAGGCAGAGCTGGTGAGAGTGGAGCAACAGCACCAAGAGAAGGTAAGCTGGCGAGCCAAGAAGCTATACTGAAAAACAAACCATTGTTGCTCTTTATTGTTAGTTAAAAATAATAATAATAATAATGGGGGTATGAAGTTTCCTTCAAAAGACCACGTAGTCTTTTCCAATTTTTGTAAATAAGAAACCAGAAATAGAGAAAAATGACTTATCTAATAAGTTTACACATACCAGTGACAATGGCTCTTAGCCTCCAACTTTAATACCAAGATGAACATGATGATGCTTCAAGCCATGAGAGCCAAAGAGAACAATTTACTTTGAAATCACAAAGGAGTAACTGGATCACTGCTTGGACTAAACCAGAATTCCTTTTTCCTCTCATTTCTTTGGTACCTTTGGGTTGTATCTTTCTCTAGGTGCTATACCTCCTCAGCCAGCTGCAGCAAAGCCAAATGGCAGAGAAGCAGCTAGAGGAGTCCGTCAGCGAAAAGGAACAACAGCTGCTGAGCATCCTGAAGTGTCAGGTATGGAGATGAGGCAAAGGTCTCCAGAGATGGGGTCCCCAGGCCTGACTGAGAATCCTGTCTGATTTACATGACTGTACCTGCAGGAAAGAGTAATTACCTACTGAAAAAAAGCTTTATAAAGGTAGCCTTTTATAATGGTAGCCTTTTATAATGGTAGTCTCTATTGCCTTGTTGCCCTGTTTGATCAATTTAGGGGTGTTTAGGATGTAGCCACATATAGGATAACCTCCGTTTTGGTACAGAAATGACAGTACATACTCCATACCAGACTTCGAGGCCTCCTGGTTCTTTGCCTCAACGCTGAGCTCTAAAGAGTTGAGAAAGTTAAATCATCCAGTAGAATCCTAGGGACATTTAGCTGTCTCTTCCCGTGCCTGTTCTGAGTTGAGACCTGACCTGTTTGTAAAATGCCTGGGGTCTGCATTTCTTCCAGAGGCTGGGAATACCACACCCTTTAGTAGCATGATGGAGTACTATTTTATCCAACTTAGAGTCTTCTTCCTGAACCACCAGTCTCTACGGCTTCTTTGGCACTGCCCATCAAAGACAACCAAATGTGTTAAGGTCGTAGGCATGAATCCAATTATCATAAGTGCCAAGGAAGTTTAATCAGGTTTATTAGTGTAGCAAATAAACTGCCTAACCTGTGTTGAGAAGCGTGGGCAAAAGCATCTGTAGACTTCAAAGAAACAGCTGACACTCTGGATGGGTTTCTTTATCAGCATCCTGATGTGAATAAGGGATATGAGGCTAGAAAATAGAAAAGAACGAGGAAGGCATGTAGAGCAGAGCCCATGTTTCCTGCAAGTGCAGTCGTGGCTGCTTGGGAGCGTTGGAATAGAGGTGGCACTCAGGACACCTAGGAATTGGTGGGGATCAGGCATTTCTCTGGGCGCCAGTGCCTGCTGTGCAAAAACCACCTGCTGCCAGCAACTTGGCAGTAGTATGTTTTCATCCCTGTGAGTTGTTTGGTAACCCACATGTAGTGCCCAAAATAACCCCACCTATCACTGCATTATCTGGAAATAGGATGAAGAACTTGAGAAGATGCAGGAAGTATGTGAGCAAAATCAGCAACTTCTCCGAGAGAACAAAATCATGAAGCAGGTAGTACAGCTTCCCACCCATTTAATAAGCCCTGGGAGACCCTCTTGCAACAGAGGCCAGCTCGTGGGAGCAACCCTGAGTATAATGACTTGGCTCAATTTTATGAGGTCTACATCTAGTTTCCATGTGGTATGGTCATGTGCATTTCAGATGGCATAAACACTTTTTTTTTTTTTTTTTTTTTTTTGCGGTACGCGGGCCTCTCACCGTTGTGGCCTCTCCCGTTGCGGAGCACAGGCTCCAGACGCGCAGGCTCAGCGGCCATGGCTCACGGGCCTAGCCGCTCCGTGGCATGTGGAATCTTCCCGGACCGGGGCACGAACCCGTTTCCCCGGCATCGGCAGGCGGACTCTCAACCACTGTGCCACCAGGGGAGCCCACACATTTTTTAATTTGCTCTTTTCTGAATCTAATACTGATCTTGTAAAGTGGGAGTCCTTCAACCTACTTTGCTCTTACCCTGCCTCACTTTACCATGGCTTAAGATTAAGCTAACTTAGGAATCTTTATGTTTTAGCCATGAACACTCTCAGAAGCTGCCCTGCAATGTACACTTTGTCTCTTCTTTTCAAATAGAAATTGAACCTCCTCCAAGTAGCCAGCAGACAGAAATCTCATCTTCCTAAGGATACCCTTCTATCTCCAGACTCTTCTTTCGAATATATCCCACCTAAGGTAAACTGCTCAGGGCCTGTGATACCTTTGCATAGCCAAGGTTTGGGGTGAGTGTACTAAAATCACCTTTCAGAAGTGGTTGAGAGTTAAAATTCCCACATTCCAGCATCTCAATTTTCTATGGAGTCCCAAATAAAATTACAGTACAATCTTGAGGAAAATAGTCATTCTCCCTCCCTAGACGGCTGACTTTGGACCATGTACAGGCATTATGCAACACAACTGAGGAGGAGGCGCATAGAAAAGAGCAGTGTTCGGCTGTCCATCCAAAGATACTTATCATATCATGAGTCCCTCCCTCCTCCCTCAGATTGCTCAGCCTCTATCCCTTCAGTTTCTCTCCCTTCAAAGACTGAGGCCAAAGGCTAAAGCAGAATTTCTTCTGATTGGTAAAGCCAAGTGGGGTATATTTGAGGAAATCTGAAATCTCTGCTCTGAGAATATAGCGGGCAGCAGCTACTGGGAAGATATAATCCACATGTTGTTGTTGTTGTTTTTAATTAAATAACCATTCCAAACTTTTTTTCTTAGCCCAAACCTCCCCGGTTTAAAGAAAAGTTCCTGGAGCAAAGCATGAACATCGAAGATATAAGATATTGTTCAGAATATTCTGTGAATGAGCCTGAGGACAGTGATGGTGATGGTGGTGATGGGGATGATGAGGAATGGAAGCCAACAAAATTAGTTAAGATGTCCAAGAAGAACATCCAAGGGGTAGGAGGCAGCTCATCTCTTTCAGGGGTTCTAGTTATTAGTCTTCACTGCCAGTGAGGGTGTACCGGCCCCAGACCCTACACCTCAATCCCTCGATCGTGTTCAGAGGCACTGGCTCTGCTGAGGGGTGCTTGTTGGGCCAACTCTGTATGGAACTGGGGGCTGGTTGAGAGGGCTGCCTGGGTGCACAGGGAGGCTCTTTTCATGTTTTCAAATTCTGACCAGTCTGAACAAGTAGTAGTGTTCTATACCATCTCATTGAAACTGGTTCCAGTGTGACCATAATAATCTTTCACATTTTTAAAGCATTTTACAGTCTATATACCATTCTCATATATGTTACCTCTTTTCATTGTCAGCAAAAAAAAATCCAGTGAGGTGTTTATTATTTGTATTTTACAGCTGGATCTGAGACCCACGAGAGGGAAATGACCTTGCCCAGGGACATAAAACAAAGTGACAGTCAGGACTTGAAATCGAATGTTCTGACTCCAAGTCCAGTTTGTTTCTACCACATCATGGTCATATCAGTAAAAATTGTAGCCCAGAAGCTAAGTGGGAGCTTTAAGATTGAACACACCAAAGTTAAGGCTAGTTAGAAACAATCTGACTTTGAGGCATGCTCTATTTACTTACACAATGATAATCCTACGGATTTATCAAACCTAGGTGTTCTATGTTGAAACATTAACTTCCCAGGCATTACAGTTCATCACTACCCCAACTGTGGCCTGCAGCCACATTCCACTTAAAGAGAACAGCTCACAAATTACCCTAGCTGGATTCCTGGAAGGTTATTCGATTTCATTAGCTGATAGTGCACCACATGGGGAACTGAGCCTTGTAAAGCTACAACACCAGAGAGAAGCAACTCATGAGGACTAGACAGCCGTGGTGGCCTTAAGTCATTTGGAAAGTCATCAGGAATGCAACATACCATGTGCTCTTAGTGGGACTAAGAGCTCATCCTTAGCCTCAGAGAGCTTATAATCTAATGGGAAAACAAGCCAAAGAAATAGGAACACATCACAGGACCTCAGCATACTCATCTCAGGGAGATGGACTGAGGGGCTTTTAAGAGTGACTGTAAAGCCAAACCGAATAGATATAGTTTATGAACATGCCAGAAAGGGATGACTCTTGCTTCATTATAAGACAGAAAGGGAAATACAGTCTTGGGAGCACCTGGGAAGCCATTTTCTGGCACAATGAATAGCATATCGTAAAGACTTGATAGTAGAGGTAGTAGCGGGACATAGAGCTGGGACACTGAGAGAAGATGGGGCAGAACATGTCTGACTTTGATTCACTTACTCAGCAAACATTTATGCTCTCTACTGTGGTTGAAGTGGTAAGCATGAGCTGATTGTTGATGAAAAGGTCAGCCAAGTACTAGGAAGCACAGGTGAGAAGTACACACAGAAACAAATGGTAGAGGACCTAAAACTCTGGGGAAGGAGTTTCCAAATGGCAAGCAAATATGGGTATACTTGTCCTTGAGGAAAGCTTATCACACACACACACACACACAAGCATAGATATAATAGCACTGTTGCTGTAAGCTTAAAAAGGAAATATAGAAGTATAGCCAAAAATGCAAGTAAGTGATATTTGCTATCAATGATAAATCCTATCTCTAAAACACTGAGAGATGATTATTTTCTAGGCTTTTTCCCTGATTTTATAACTTGAGAATATAACTGGGCTTTAAGGGGAGCAAGTTGGCATACAATCTAGTTTCTCCCTTTTGGAGGCCTCGAAGTACATGGACTGCTCTTTGATCAGACTGCTTGTAGACACATCAGCTGTAGACCTTGATGCTTTGCATGAAGGCCATCCTGATTATTATTGTTTCAACCCAGCTGAAGCGGGCTGGTATGAATCACTAGGTATCTGCAAAGGAGACTGCAGCAGGTACCAAAATGATGACTTGTCCAAAGCTAATGCTGAAAAAACTAGGTTTCCTCATTCAGCTATATTTCCTATCTGTACTAAGGAGATGCCGAAGGATAGGCCATGTGCTGTAGTAAAGAAGTGATAGCTTAGAAGCCAGGTAAACATGAGTTGTAGCCTTGACTTTGCCACTGTTTAGTTGGATAGCCTTAAGCAAGTCACTTAATCTCTCTGAGCCTCAGATTCCTTATTTATGTAATAAAGGGATGAGGCTAGAATAGTGATATATAAGGTCCCTTCCAGCACTAATATCCTGAGTCAAAGTAACAGTCAAAGTTGTATAAATGGGTTTTGTTGTTGTTGTTTTTAATAAATGGGTTTTAATAATACTACCTTTATATGGGGCTATATGGTGTCTGAGAAGTTAAAAGAAGGAATATATGCAGGAGCACCTTGTGAAGGATAAAATATCATGCAGGTATTGTTATTAAAGCACTGTAAGCATTTTTACAAATATTCCCATTTGTCCCCTTTGGCAGAAAAGAGGGAGGAGGTATTCTGGTCTCTAGTAATGAAAGAATGAAGATAAACTTGGATGGAGTGACTTGTCCAAGGTCATGCCAAGTATTAAATATAAGACTAGAGCCCAAGCCTCCCAATTCCTAGCCTGGTATCCTTTATGTTACAATTTTTACCAGATCTTTTCATTCTGAGATATAATGTAACACTGAAATCAGTGCTAGAAGAATTATAGACTCTAAAGAAATAATTCTCAACCTTGGCTACACGTTAGAATCCCCCAGGGAGCTTTTAAACACAGGTTGCCTGGGACCCCACCCCCCAGATATTCTGATTTAATTGGTCTGAGGTGGGACCTGGCCTTTTTGAAAAGCTCCCCAGAGATTCCTTATGTCCAGCCAGGGTTGAGAACCACTGGCTTAAAGGAACCCCAGAGGTCTTTCATCTTGACTTCCCACTGCTTTTATATAAAGAATCTCTATTATAGTGGTTCTCAGCTATGGTGTTGGGACATGCTGGTGGGTTGCTAGCAGTTGTGATACACACACACGTATACACACACATCCCACATACATCATATTTGAGATTTTGTCTGTGGCAAGATCTTGCTCCCTCTCTTATATTCTGATCTGCGTCCTGGTGTGAGAGAAAATAGGATGAAGCTAAAGCTAGTGCACATGGCATTCGTGTGAATACATCTGTCATGTACGTCATGACTGTTCTATAATACAACTCCCAGGTGTTTATCTAGGCTCTGCTTGCTTGAAAACAAGCAATCTAGTAGGGGGAGGCTCACAGTCGTGAGACAGGGCAGCCCGTTGTATTCCAAGTAGGTGTTGGAAAGTTGTTCCTTGTTGAGCTGTCCTATAAATCATCCCAATGAGTCTTGGCTATGTAGAAGTCTAATTGTTCTTCCTTATGATAGCCCTTCAGATGCCATTCTTGTACTTTGGATAAAATAGAGACACATGGACAGGGTAATAGAGTGTTTTTGAGGCATATAATATAGATAAATGTGTAAATGGTCAGAGGACCATACCCAGCCTGTAGCAATCAATGGATCAATGTCATCCTGGCGAGGTGTCTTTAGGACATGTCATAGAACTCTGTGTTTTGCTCTGTCTTATTCAAAGAAGCAAAGTTAGGGGGGTTTTTTTTTCTGTTATGTCCAGTGTTGGCAAAGGTGACTAAGGTGGGCATTCCTGTTGTTAGGAGTGTAGTTTGGCATACCTTTCTGGAAAGCAACTGGAAAATATGCATCAAAAGCCTTAAAAATATTCCTATCCTTTGGCTCAATAATTATACACATAGGTATTTATACTAAGGATATAGTCATTGATATGTAAAAAGATTTATAAATCTTTTTTGAGCATCAAACTATGTATCAGGCACTGCTTCTAGGTGCTGAGGATGCAATAAACAAGACAGGTAAAATCCTTGGCCTCATGAAACTGAAGACATTCTTGTGGAGAGAGACTCATAGTGACCAGAAAAACAAAATAATTTTAGACGATAAGAGATAAAAAGAAAATGTAGTCAAATCATAGAGAATGATGGGGTAGGAAAAGAGTACTTTGGACGAGTGTTTGGGAGAGGCCTCTCTGAAGAGGAGATATTTAAGCTGAGATCTGAACAAAGTGAAGGAGCAAGTCAGGAAAAAAATCAGAAGAACATTTCAGGAAAAGGAAACAGTAAATGCAAAGACCTCAGGGCAGGAATGAGCTTGGCTTATCAAGGAACAGCTGAAGAGGCCAGTGAGGCTGGAGGATACTGAGAAGTGGGAGAGTGCAGTACAAGGTCGGGTCAGAGGGGTAATCAGAGGCCTTGTCAATCATGGTAAGATTTGGATTGTATTTATGTACCAGGATATTTGCTGCAACATGATTTTTAATGGCAAACAATTTCTTTCAAAACAATCTTAATATCTAACGTTAGGTGACCAGTTAAGTAAATTGACATTTCCACATGATGAAAGACTATATACAATTGTTAAATATTAAAAATCATGGTTTTGATTTTCAGATTTTATAAAGTACTATATATTATTCTCATAATGGGGGCGAGGGGGAAGATGTTTTAATGGTTTCTTTTACCCTCACAACTACACAACAATGGTGATGGTTGTCCATATGAAACAGACTCAAGGGCTTGTAAATGCAATATGAATCCACAAAGATATGACAAGGGAAAAAAAGCTACTGTGATTTAGGACTCATTAGCAGAACTATGGAGTTCATAACAAGGGAGGTGTTTGTCTCAATCTGCTTCACAATGGTCACACCACATTTAGAAAGTTATGCTCATTTCTGGGTGTCACAATTGAAGATGAACTTGGAGAAATTGTTATATAGCCAAGGTGGTGAGAATTCTTGGAAACCATGTCATGTGGTGAATCATTGAGGGAGCTAGGTATATTTAGCTTTGAGAGGATTTGGACAGAGTGGGACTGGGGAGTGAAAACGATGCTCAGGGTTTGAACATATATGCTGTGAAAGTGGGGTTAAATTGATTCCATATCATTCCAGATGGCAGAATTTGGTCCTGAGATCAGAAGTTATATAGAAACTGTTATCTCAGGATAAATAGAGCATTGGATAATAAGACCAGGGATGTTTGAGTGGGGCTTCATACATCAAATCAGGCTTTAGATGGTCACTGAGGTCTCCTCTGACTCTAATCCATCATTCTGAGAGCTCTGTCACCTATATTTGTTCCAAGCCAAACTATCCTTACTTTCTTCCACCATTTCTCTTACAACATCACTTCCTATAATGCTGGTCACCCACCCCCTTTTTGTTTAATTCCCTCTTTGTGAAGCACATACACACAGTGGACTCCTGAATGTGTGCACAAGGAAACATACTTATTGATAAAATGGGCTTAATATATGGAAAGCGCTTGTAACAGTGCCTGGCACATGGTGATGTCAGCTATTACTACTGTAGCCTTGTTGTAAGTGTGAAATATGGCACTATGAGGAGTATGGGTAAATTGTGGCATGCTCATAGTGTGAAAATGAATGGAACAGGAGCTACATGCATCAACGGATGATAAGATACCATTTATATAAAGTTTAAAAGTATGTAAGATAACTCCTTACATATTTTAAACAAAAACTCATATGTGGTAAAAAAGAGACATGCATGGGATAATAAGCACCTAATTCAAGAGACTGCCCCTGGGAGGGAGGAAGGCAAATGGGATCAGGAAAGCATAGACAGGAGGCTTCAGTTCTATCTGTATTTTACTCATCAAGGGAGGGTTGGGGACATGAGTGGGGTTTTTTTCTTGTCTACACTTTTTATATGCCTAAAAGAATTTATGGGGCCCTAAAATAGGATATATCATTTCAAATAGAGTCTGACTGACCTAGGGTTTACTGAAACATTCTCTCCCTATGATTTCTGAGCTCCAAATTACTGGCTGACTGGCTTGCTTTTTTTTTTTTTTACATGTTTATTGCAGTATAATTGCTTTTACAATGGTGTGTTGGTTTCTGCTTTATAACAAAGTGAATCAGTTATACATATGTTCCCATATCTCTTCCCTCTTGCATCTCCCTCCCTCCCACCCTCCCTATCCCACCCCTCCAGGCGGTCACAAAGCACCGAGCTGATCTCCCTGTGCTATGCGGCTGCTTCCCACTAGCTATCTACCATACGTTTGGTAGTGTATATATGTCCATGCCTCTCTCTTGCTTTGTCTCAGCTTACCCTTCCCCCTCCTCATATCCTCAAGTCCATTCTCTAGTAAGTCTGTGTCTTTATTCCTGTCTTACCCCAAGGTTCTTCATGACATTTTTTTCTTAAATTCCATATATATGTGTTAGCATACGGTATTTGTCTTTCTCTTTCTGACTTCACTCTGTATGACAGACTCTAGGTCTATCCACCTCATTACAAA